ACTCGATCAATGGACAGCTCTGTAGTTTTTGTTTTGCAGGAGAGACAGAGAGGCTTCTACAGATACTTTTGGATATCACTCATTGATGCCATACCACCCATCATAGGGCAGACATGATGCCAGTGTTGTAACACTGTGGCTATCTCACCACCATGCTACGCTGGGGAATGTCGCTTTGAAAGTATTGTCAGAGTCAAGCTCTTCTCTGAAGAGAAGATGAGCTCTCTGGACCTGACAGCTAATTGGCAATAATGGGCAATTGATATTCCAAGCAGGTCACACCTTATTGCTAAGGTAAAACCTGATGTAGCAGAATGGTCAAGGCAGATCTAGAAAGAGGTAGTTTGGAGCTGGCTGGCTAAAAGAACTTTTAGGATTTGGGAACTGTGAGGTTACTGGAACAGTGTGCAGAGTGCCTGTTTCTGCACCCCTATAATGCCTGCTTTATTTGTGCATCTGTAACTGAAAGATCCTTACACAGATACTCAAGGTTTCTAGCGCTATTCTGAAAAACAGCTCATTATTATTATTCTGAAAAAATTATTCTGAAAAAATCCTGCAGGATCCATCACCTGAGTATGAAATCCTTAAGACTTTGCAGCTAAGGCAGGCTACTGTAACAACTTTGTAAGGCACTTTGGGGACAAAATCACTCAGATTTGGGCACAGTTGGGTGCCACAGTTAGAGCAAGTTTTCATATATGAAGCATGAATTAAATGAAAGGGATGAAGACATTGATAATGAGGGGCCACTTGCCTGCAGTGGGTTAAGAAGTGTGTGTGTGTGTGTGTGGACAATATACGGAATAAACAGTGGTTTGCAAGAGGAAACAAGCCCAACATGAACAGTTTATAGCCTGCTGCGGAGAAAATGCATTTAGTGAGGAAAACCAAAATACTGAATGTTGCAGAGTTAAACCCTAGGTAGACTACAGACTACTAAAAACATTTCAAGGCTGGGCCGTATTGCTGCGGTAAAAATGAATGTATTGCCTAGAATGTTGTTTTTGTTTCAAACATTGCAAATTGTGGACAAAATGGATTGTTTCAAGAGGTGGCAGAGAGATATTTCTAAATTTGTCTGGCAGGGCAAGAAGCCTAGAATAAAATTTAAAATATTAACAGATGCAAAGGAAAGAGGTGGATTTGCGCTGCCAGACTTTAAACTTTACTATGAATCAGCAGCTTTCTGCTGGTTGAAAGAATGGTTGCTTCTTGAAAACACTGACATTTTGGATTTAGAAGGTTTTAACAATGTATTTGGATGGCATGCATATCTGTGGTATGATAAGGTCAAAGCACACAAAGCATTTAAAAATCACATCGTCAGGAAATCATTGTTTAATGTTTGGATAAGATACAAGGACTTATTGGAAAATAAAACCCCAAGGTGGCTGTCACCGATGGAAGCAAAAGCTTTGAAAAAGCTCAATATGGAGGCCAAATGGCCAAAATATTGGGAAATTTTGGAACAAGATGGAGATAGACTGAAATTGCAGAGTTTTGAGAAATTAAAAAACAAAGTGCGAGACTGGCTTCATTATTATCAGATAATGGAGGCATATAATTTGGATAAGAAAATTGGTTTCCAGGTGGAGAAATCAAAATTAGAAACAGAACTATTAGAACCCAAAACTAAGATTTTGTCAAAGATGTATAACTTGCTGTTGAAATGGAATACTCAGGATGAAACGGTGAAATCTGTTATGATTAAATGGGCACAAGATGTTGGTCATAACATTATGTTTGCTGACTGGGAACAGTTATGGACCACAGGTATGAAGTTTACAGCATGTAATGCCTTAAGAGAGAATATTATGAAAATGATCTACAGGTGGTACATGACCCCAGTCAAGCTTGAAAAAAATCTATCATTTGCCCGATAATAAATGTTGGAAATGTAAAGAAACTGAAGGTACATTCTTTCACCTTTGGTGGACGTGCCCAAGGATTAAGGCTTTCTGGGAAATGATATATAATGAACTGAAAAAGATATTTAAATATACCTTCTTGAAGAAACCAGAGGCCTTTCTCCTGGGCATAGTCGGCCAATTGGTGTCAAAGAAGGATAGAACCTTTTTTATGTACGCCGCAACAGCAGCAAGAATACTCATTGCAAAGTATTGGAAGACACAAGATCTACCTACTCTGGAAGAATGGCAGATGAAGCTGATGGACTATATGGAACTGGCAGAAATGCTGGCAGAATCTGAGACCAGGGAAAAGAGTCTGTGGAAGAAGATTGGAAGAAGTTCAAAGTTTATCTACAGAAATACTGTAAAATTAATGAATGTTAGAATGATGTTGGATAGAAATTAAGTGGTTTCTAGCTGTAATGCTTTAAGGGAATATGAAAAAGGGGTTATTAAGAGGTAAAAATCTAATGTTATTATTTTAAGACCAAAGATTAGGATAAACAAAGAGGGTAAGGATTTGCTGAACCAACAAACTGAACTGGAATACAAAAAAGGGAGGTATGAGGAGGTCCGGGAAACAAGCTAAAGAAAAATAAGTAATGGAAAATCTGAGTGTTTTTAATCATTTTTATTTTGTATTTTTTTTCTTTTTCATCTTTTATTGTAATATTTTTAAAAAATCGTAATAAATATCTTATAAAAAAAAAATTTCAAGGCATGAATTCAAAGACACCATTTTCTTCTTCTCTAAGCCACTGGTATTCAACTAGTGGGGCATGACAAGGGGGGTTGCAATAGGAACACTGCCACCATGCAAATATATGGTAAAAGGTTAAGTAATGGGTCCCCAAACTATTCATTGTAGTAGCTTCACACAAACAATTTCCCCCCTAGAAGTTTGTTTGTTTTTAAAGAAAGAAGAAAAATGTTTAGGTCTGTGTGTTGTCCTTTGCAGCAAAGCCATTTTGGGAAGTATGAGATCTTCTGGGGGTAAAAAACCCCCCATCCCTTGTACAGCAAAACAGAGATCCTTCATCCTCTCTTGGAAACTTCCTTGCAGTGTGATGTAATGTGTCATGTGCTCCATGAACCTCCTTGTCTCTTGGCAGATTGAACAGAGAGATAATCTACAGGGATATGTGGAACCCAGCTTGCCACCTGCCACTTGCCAACTGGGAAATAGCAATGCTTATCCGGGGGACTTCAATTACCCGGATATTTGTTGGATGTCAAACTCAGCCAAGAGCATAAGGTCAAACAGATTCCTCACTGGCCTTGCAGACAACTTCATTGTCCAGAAAGTGGGAGAAGCAACAAGAGGAACAGCCATTTTAGATCTGGTCCTAACCAATGTTGATGACCTGGTTAGTGGGGTAGAAGTGGAAGGATCATTAGGCGCGAGTGATCATGCTCTTCTGAAGTTTACTATACAGCGGAAAGGAGCAGTCAAGCATACTAGGACTCAATTTCTTGACTTTAAGAAAGCCGACTTCATAAAACTTAGGGAAGTGCTGGGTGAGATCCCATGGACAGTAATACTAAAAGGAAAGGGAGTTCATGATGGCTGGGAGTTTGTTAAGAGGGAGATACTAAAAGCATAACGTCAGGCAATACCAATGAGATGGAAACATGGAAGGTGCCTAAAGAAGCCAGGGTGGCTATCTAAAGAACTTTTAACTGAGTTAAGATTAAAAAGGATGTGTACAAAAAATGGAAAAGGGGGGAAACCACCAAAGAGGAATTCAAACAAATAGCCAGCACGTGTAGACACAAAGTCAGAAAAGCTAAAGCACAGAATGAACTCAGGCTTGCTAGAGAGGTTAAAAGCAACAAAAAGGGCTTTTATGGGTATGTTCATAGCAAAAGGAAGAACAAAGAAACAGTGGGGTCACTCAGAGGAGAAGATGGTGAAATGCAAACAGGGGACACAGAAAGGGCTGAACTCCTCAATGCCTTCTTTGCCTCAGTCTTCTCCGATAAAGAAAACAATGCCCGACCTGAAGAATTTGGAGCAAATGATTCAGCAGAGGAAACACAGCCCAGAATAACTAAGGAGATAGTACAAGAATACTTGGCTAGTTTAGATGTATTCAAGTCTCCAGGGCCAGATGAACTGCATCCAAGAGTATTAAAAGAACTGGCAGATGTGATCTCAGAACCACTGGCAGTCATCTTTGAGAATTCCTGGAGAACAGGCGAAGTCCCGGCAGACTGGAGGAGGGCAAATGTTGTCCCTATTTTCAAAAAGGGGAAAAGAGAGGACCCAAATAATTACCGCCCAGTCAGTCTGACATCAATACCAGGGAAGATTCTGGAGCAGATCATTAAGCAAACAGTCTGTGAGCACCTAGAAAGGAATGCTGTGATCACCAATAGTCAGCATGGATTTCTGAGAAATAAGTCATGTCAGACTAACCTGATCTGGTTTTTTGACAGAATTACAAGCCTGGTAGATGAAGGGAACACAGTGGATGTAGCCTACCTTGATTTCAGCAAGGCATTTGACAAGGTGCCCCATGATATTCTTGTAAAGAAGCTGGTAAAATGCGGTCTTGACTATGCTACCACTCAGTGGATTTGTAACTGGCTGACTGACCGAACCCAAAGGGTGCTCATCAATGGTTCCTCTTCATCCTGGAGAAGAGTGACTAGTGGGGTGCCACAGGGTTCTGTCTTGGGCCCGGTCTTATTCAACATCTTTATCAATGACTTGGATGATGGACTCAAGGGCATCCTGATCAAATTTGCAGATGACACCAATATGGGAGGGGTGGCTAACACCCCAGAGGACAGGATCACACTTCAAAACGACCTTGACAGATTAGAGAACTGGGCCAAAACAAACAAGATGAATTTTAACAGGGAGAAATGTAAAGTATTGCACTTGGGCAAAAAAATGAGAGGCACAAATACAAGATGGGTGACACCTGGCTTGAGAGCAGTACATGTGAAAAGGATCTAGGAGTCTTGGTTGACCACAAACTTGACATGAGCCAACAGTGTGACGCGGCAGCTAAAAAAGCCAATGCAATTCTGGGCTGCATCAATAGGAGTATAGCATCTAGATCATGGGAAGTAATAGTGCCACTGTATTCTGCTCTGGTCAGACCTCACCTGGAGTACTGTGTCCAGTTCTGGGCACCACAGTTCAAGAAGGACACTGACAAACTGGAACGTGTCCAGAGGAGGGCAACCAAAATGGTCAAAGGCCTGGAAACGATGCCTTATGAGGAATGGCTAAGGGAGCTGGGCATGTTTAGCCTGGAGAAGAGGAGGTTAAGGGGTGATATGATAGCCATGTTCAAATATATAAAAGGATGTCACATAGAGGAGGGAGAAAGGTTGTTTTCTGCTGCTCCAGAGAAGCGGACACGGAGCAATGGATCCAAACTACAAGAAAGAAGATTCCACCTAAACATTAGGAAGAACTTCCTGACAGTAAGAGCTGTTCGACAGTGGAATTTGCTGCCAAGGAGTGTGGTGGAGTCTCCTTCTTTGGAGGTCTTTAAGCAGAGGCTTGACAACCATATGTCAGGAGTGCTCTGATGGTGTTTCCTGCTTGGCAGGGGGTTGGACTCGATGGCCCTTGTGGTCTCTTCCAACTCTATGATTCTATGATTCTATGATTCTAGAAATCAGCTGGGTTGGCGCAGGAAGTAGATCTTAACAATTCATGTAGGCAGAAGTTAGGCTGAGAGGCAGTGATTGGCCTAAGGTCAGTGAGCTTTGTGGCCAAGTCTGGCTTTATGCAACCAAAGCTGCAACATAAACAATGAAGCATATAAACTGTGTACATTGTTTCTGTCTATGCAGTGTTCACTGAGCAGTTATCAATGCTATATGGTATAATTTCATTACATTTCCCACAGAAAATAACTTGGAGATCTATTTCATTGCAGATGATGGGCTTAATGAGGGACTACGATGACGACGACTACTACTAGTTGTTTTCAGCTGGGGAGGGATAAAAAAATAAAGCCTCATTCTTCAGTTTCAATTTTCTTTCCAACCAGTGAACCAGAAGGATTGTAGGAGGCCCTCCTACTTTCCTTCAGCAGACCTATATTTATAGCAGAAGCAGCTGTAAACAGAGGTGGGGAATGAAATGGCAATTGTGACATATGCATCAGTGCAATACCCCCCTGCCCTACTATAGATTTCCTAGCCCACCTGGTAAGCCCTGCTCCAATACATATTGGTTGTCTTGTGACAGCAAATATGCTTAATGTTATGATGGTTGTAGAGCAGTTACAGAGCACATGCGTTTTCACAAAGGGATTAGGCATCTTGCTCTAACATGGCAGGTTTTAACATTTGCTACTAGTTGTTGGTTTTTAACATATCTCAGTAGGATTTAAGTCTTAGGTTTAATGTTCATGGTAAGTTGTTTACCATAGTACTACAAGATCACCAGATAAAATCTGACATAAACTTGGCAAATTGTGTTGTGCTTTCCCTGTTTTTGAGAGCGCGTGAGCACAACAATTTTTTAAATCAAATTAAGACACTTGGAAACTTACCTGAGGGGACAGAGATCCAGTCCAACACCATCAAAGTCACAAGTGACCTCTGCAACAACAAAACAAAAGAATCCAGTTGTGCAGCATATAGATTTGAGCAAGTTTTACACAGTGATGATGTACCTTCAGTCCAAGAAAGGACCTCTCAAACTATGGGTTCCAGTGTGTTTGGGGGCAGGTTGTGCAATGAAATACATATCTTTGAAATGCTTAAATGTTATTCAAATACATACTGCCTGTGCACATAAAATGAAGTATAAAATATAAACTACATCAGTAGTGCAAACAGTGATGTTCTGGCACCTTTTGTTGGGAGAGAGTAGGACTTGAAAGGAGTAGCAAGTTTATAGAATGACAGAAGAAAAGCCCTCTTGGGTACTCCTACAGTGGGCAGCCAAATGCCTATGAGGAAGTTCACGTGTGTCCAATTTCAAAACATATGAGAAACACAGATTTAAGAACAAAAATATCCACAAAGTTTATATCAATAGAGCATCTTCAGGCAGAACTGGCATATTGAGTCAGTTTGGGTGTAATGCTAAACCATGAATGAGCTACAATGAGCTGCAGGCTCAGCACACTCCTTTTCTTCCTCTTTCGCACACAAGTGAAGGTGCTAAAGAGCTTCCATCTGTCAGGGATTCTTTAGTTGTGATTCCTGCATTGCATGGGTTTGGACTAGATGACCCTTGGTGTCCTTTCCAACTCTACAATTTTATGATTCTATGGTTCTACTAAGCTAGAGTCCCTAGAATGAAGGAAATGGCTTATCAGAATGGCCAGACCAGCCATGATTCTGGGGAGAGCATTTTGTTGATGCTGATCTCTTAGCACAACCCTTAAAATTATGATGGCATCTTGAGCAGTAAGCAAATGAATCCTTGCTGAAGGCTTGCAATCTACAACAACAGAAAAGAGAAAAATGAGGAAGGGGAGAAGACACTGCATAACCTTTCACTGCATCACCCTTGTGGAATGCCAAAAGTCCAAACAAAAGGAGATATTTGACCTTTATGGAATTGTCTGGTCTAGTCTTTTGAATGCCATGCTTCAGTAGAGGAGCTGAGGGAGTAATAATTAAGCAATAAGCTCATCCACATGACAAATTTGCTTCCCATTGACAGGCGCTGTGCTCATGTGATAAGAAAGCTTAGTCTCTGATGGCTTGATCTGAGATGTCTGTTTCATATATAGCCAAACTCTATTGTAATATTTGGCAGTTTGTCATTCCCCACTTTTTATTGTAAACTAAAAACATACAATATGGACCGTTAATAGAAAAAAAAGCTATTCATTTTGCCAATAATCATTAATTTTACCCAGTAATGTATCCAACAAGGAAGTGATTTAATAGAACTGTTGTCATACCTAATTAATTGGCATCCTATAATCTATATGTTTACCAGAAAGGAATTACATCAATTAGAATAAAGAATGAGATTTGAATATTTTCAACTTGTATAGTCCACAAAACTATTGAAGGTATAAAAACACCTTATTTCCCCCCAATAGATTTACTATATCATCAATCTCATCTGTTAGACTGCAATCCTACGCACACTTACCTGGGTGTAAGGACCTGTCAATTCTGGTTTCTTCCAGTTTCTATGTTTTCCTGCATTAAGTTTGCGCTTAAAAGAAGAAGAAAAAGAAAACCTCAGAACAATTTGCCAGCATTTTAGTGCACATTTTCTCTAATATATACACACCTCAATGTCCAGAGGCCACTTGAGCTTTCAGTAATGATGGCTCTGCAGAGGGGAGGTTCTGCCAAGCCTCCAAGCCTCACTAGAAAGAAAAAGAAAAAAGTGTGATCCCGACAATGGGAATTATAGAACCACTACTTCGTGTTCCTGGCAAAGGTAAGCCCTGTTGGATCTGCCCAGTGACCCACCTAGTCCACAAGCAGGACCCAAGCACAAGAGCACTCTCCCCTCCTGTGGTTTCCAGCAACTGGTGTCCAGTACTGCACTTACTGTGGAGGCAGAACATAGCCATCATGGCTAGTAGCCATTGACAGCTTTATCTTCAATGAGAAGCCATCTGAGACAACCTCCAAAAGCTCATACAGGGATGTTGCACTAACAACGCCCCCCTCTTGTCTTTGATAAAGGATGCTATCCAGAGCCTTTAAAACTCATCACCTAGTTTTCTAGTGACTGCAGTGTGATGACCCACATGGTAGTGATGGCTGTGGATGAAAACTATAATACAGTGGTACCTTGGTTTAAGAACAGCCCTGTTTACGAACTATTTGGTTCACAAACTCTGCAAAACCAGAGGTAGTGTCCTGGTTAACAAACTTTACCTCGGTCTATGTACGGAAGGCGAACGGTAGAAGGGCACCGGTGGCGGGAGGTCTCATTAGGGAAAACGTGCCTCATTTTGAGAACTGTTTCAGTTTAAGAACGAACTTCCAGAATGGATTAAGTTCATAAACCGAGGTACCACTGTATGCCATTTGGATACACTTTGGCCTGCCCATAGTAATTCAGTCCCATGGAGGGATCACCACATTCAGAACTGCTTTTTTGGTTTAAATGTGGCAGCAGGTGATCCCATTTTTAGCAGTTTCAGTGGGGGAGGGCTCATATCTGATCAGGATAAGAGAATCCCCCCCCCACTTGAGGCTGCTATTTGTTTTCCCTCTTGGGTCCATTGCGGTTCTGATGTGCCATTTTCAATGCTCATTTATAGTGGTTTGCAGTGATGGTGGTATAAAAGCCCCATCTTGTCTCAATGGAAAGGCGGCTGTTGCATCAAGCAATTCATCATCATTCATTATTTACGCTGCCACTATAACTGTACAAGGCACCATGCAAGAATTTAAAAGACATGGTCCTGCCCGCAGACTTATAATCTAATTTTGGGCAGATTTCCAAAGTCTACTAGGAGCTCAACACTTGAGTACATTATCCCTCAGTGTGGAAAGTTTTCTAGCTTGTCAGGTAGATGGTCAGAATACGGGACTACCTGTTTCTTTCTGTACAAGTTAGATTCAATTTCTTATTTATGTTATGTAGAGAAGTATTGGGAAGTGTATTCATCTGTGCTGCTCTGAGTTCCATACAATTCCCTGCATGTTCATTCAGGATTAGGAATGTAGAAAGCTGTCTTATACTGAATTAGACCATTGGCTCATCTAGATCAGTATTGATTACACTGACTGACAGCAGCTCTCAATGATTTCACATTGGGGTCTCTCCCATCTACAAATGCTGGGGATTGAATCTGGGACCTTCTGCATGCAAATAAGATGCTCCGCCACTGAGCCACAACCCTTCCCCAATTAATAAATTTATTTGATCTTACCTTCAGGTAACTTTGTCAAGTACCACTGCCTTAAAGTATAGTGCAAAGGCGACAAAACCAGTAAACAGTCAGTTTGCATTTCTTAGTGCAGAAAGTATTGATTTGATGTGTAGAGATCTTTCCTATTCTGCTTAATTCAAAAGGGTTCTGGAAGCTTCTATATGTGAAAGAAACAAGCAGAAGGTTCATGATGTTTGGGTTATTCCTCCAGAGAAGCTGAGTTCAGCTGGTTTAAACTGGTTCTCTTATCTCTTTCAGTCAAGGTCATGCTGACTATAAAAGTAAGGCCGGAAGGAACCTGGGATTCACTTTCTCTTTCTATTTCTCTTCCTTCTGGTGTGGTGTTCTGTATATAGTGTTAAGCTTTAGACTTAGTATAATTTATTATAAGTGTCAGTACACCTTTCAACCGATGTCAGCGACTGGGCTCAATAACTGGTTCTGCCCTGACTGGGCTAGGCAACTGGAGCACTTTCAGAGACCTTCCAATCCTGGAAAGCAGGTCTCAGTGCCCTGGACTCACAGCTGTGCATTGTGAGCACCAGACTCAGCAGAGCATAAATAACGTGGAAGCTAGCTTTTATTTCTAATAGCTACTACAAACTAAAGAACTACTGGCTTGCATGAGTGTTACATCTCCCACTCAGCCATCTAGTCACTACATAGATAAGACTCTCTCCACACACAGAGTCAGGCAGTCAGTAAGGAGCGGAAGAGTAGAAGAGCAGTTTCCACCCCCTCCTTTCTCAAAACATCAGATCAGGAGATTCTCGCAATGGGAGGGGGTGAAAATATCAACAATAAGTTAAGTTAAGTCTGCGACAACTGGATTTCTTATGGATAGTGCCAGTCCTGAATGTATTGGATTTGTGACCATTATGCTCATTATGCTGCCTTCAGTAGCAGCAAAGCTCTGCTGGGTGAAATACAATTGCCTCTGGTCTATTTTTTGGGAATCCTGCAATGTTGTTACTCTGCTAACGATGCATTGAGGTTCTGCTCTGGATCAATATTGAGTAGAATTCCATGACATAAACAATTGCACAATTTCATTCACAAGCAATATGATTTTTCATAGGCAAGTGTCCACAGAAACTCAGTGAATTAGAGCCATTTTTAATGTCCAGGAGTTTGTATAGTGTTTCTAGAAAATTATAAATTTGATTGCAAAACGAGGAAAATACTGTTGGCCAGGCCTTTTAGATTTTTGACATGTTGGAAGGGGAATATTGAACTATATGGTGTCCATAAACTTGACCTATGCACCAAGTTTTGTAATAAAAGAAGAAGGAGGAGAATTCTATCTCAATAGGGGCCTCTCTGGGCAGTGTCCAGTAGTGGAGTGTGTGGTGGCTCAGTTGGTTAGAGCGTGCTAGGGAAAAATAAAAGTAAAAATGATAACTTTAATGAGCAGTCTCCTGATTTCCATTCCCAGTCTTTCCTTTAAACCCCAGGAAGATTATCCCAAATGCTCATGCTGGGTTAGGAAGCAAATGTTTTCTGTCAGGGAAAGAACAGGGATATTGTGCAGACTCTAAAGTTTCGGAAGAACAAGTGACCTTAAATCCTTAAGGTGTTTTCTACCCACATTAGTTTCTCATTGCACTGATAATTCTTATCTACAAAAACACATAATGAGAGTGATTATGATGGGAGAAATACTTTCATAATCCATGAAAGACTAGAAGTACTACCATGCCACAAGATGAACTGAAGGGAAGCAGGAAGCTACAGTTGACAAATCAAAATTGGAAAGAAAATGAATGTTCCCCTCACTTCAGACAATCCATTCATAATAACACACACACACACACACACACACACACACACACACACACGTGTGTGTGTGTTTGTGATGCTACTCAGAGTACAGAGTCTTGGCACCTCTTCTTTTTTTTGCTGCCCATGACACCTATTTTAGCTGGTACCCACAGCACTTTTATAATACAGTGGTACCTCAGGTTAAGTACTTAATTTGTTCTGGAGGTCTGTACTTAACCTGAAACTGTTCTTAACCTGAAGCACCACTTTAGCTAATGGGGCCTCCTGCTGCTGCTGTGCCGCCGGAGCACGATTTCTGTTCTCATCCTGAAGCAAAGTTCTTAACCTGAAGCACTATTTCTGGGTTAGCGGAGTCTGTAACTTGAAGCGTATGTAACCTGAAGTGTATGTAACCTGAGGGACCACTGTATATGAGTACCAGCACTTCATTTTTTACCTCCCCTACATAACACAAACACACAATAGCTATCCTCTCTCCCTCTTCTCCACCCTCTCATCTCCATTAGGGCCAATCTACACATGTAGAAAGAAAGCATTGGCGATGAATTACCACAAACTGTACCATTCAGCCTGCAGATATGGGCACTGCAAATGTGGAGAGCTTCTTCAACAGTTATGTCACTTTCTGTGGAAAACATGTTAGGGGAGAGGTGCAACCTAGCCTTCTGCCCGAGGTACTCATTTTCTGTGTACAACAAATTGCTTCCTGTTTGCCACTGTTTATTCACTCTCTTTCACTTACAGTCTACAATGGACAGGGCCGGCCCAAGACATTTTGCTGCCTGAGGACAAGATCCTGCTCGCCCATTACCTGCACAGAATTCAATCAGAGGGAAATTTATTTGAATCTTTCTTCGACACTGGTGACAAATAAATACCCTCCACCACTCCAGAGGACAACGGGTTAGCATAGATGTGACCCTTTAGCAGAAAAATCTTCCCATTATGGTTTCACAGGCCCTGACAACCGTTTTTATCCAGGTGTAACTTGACTACTTGAGAAGGAAAGGATGGGCCTGTGTACAGTATACTGGGGGTATACTATTCCATTCCACAGTAGCCAAATGAATATTTTCTGGGGTGCTCCTCTCACAAGCAATATCTTCATCCTAAACTAAGCAGATAATTGCTTGTCAAACTGATTGATGTTCTGTAGAAGTGTCTTTTCCAGGAATCACCCCCTGCCTGTAAAAGACAATTTGATTTTGTACTAGACTTTTCTCTGTCTCCCCCCCCTCTCCTTCTCCTTCTCCAAGAGCTGTAACTTTTTCCTCTGCTTAAAAGTAGTAATTATTTAATGAATAGCCATCCACATTTCCTTGTCAGTTGTTCGCTGCAACAATCAGCTGGTTTTGTCTGCCTCGGGTAGCAACAAAAAATATTACAATAATAATAACAATAAAAGGAATGTTCTTTACTCTAACAGATACTACACCACATGTCCTGCGGGGTTCATTGTTTGGATAAGTAGACTTTTTAAAAACGCAGGCAGCCATGTTAGTCCATAGAAAAAATCCAAGGAGAAAAGGGGATTATATTTAACTGTTTTACACTATATCATAGTTTTGCACATTTCACTGGAGTTTTGCTTATCCTTCTTCATCTTACTACTTTCTCCATGTGCTGTCCCCAAGCACAGAAACTGAGAATATTTTAAAGGGGAGTGGGTTGGGGGGGGGAAATACCCTTGTTTGTTTCCTCCTCTGCAAAGACTCACCCCTCCACAAAAGCCAAATCTATAAACCTCTGTTGAGCTCTCAGAATTGAGGTCAGGGCTTTTACAAGCTTGAGTTTGTATCATGAACCAGTGCCCAGAGTTAATTGTACACAAAGAGACATTGTTGTTTCCATTAGGGGCTGCAATACGACTGCATTTTAATTATTTGGTAACATTTCACCCATTATGTTACTCACTCCTCTTCTCCCTTTCTCACCAAGGAAGAAAATTTCAGCCTCACAATGTGCCACAACCAACACTCAGGGAGGCCATGTCTCCTTTTTCTTTTTTAACAGATGGCAGTCATCTGTCTGAAGGGCTGTGAGTGGAAAGTCCTCTGTTTGAAGGAGTCATCTCTTGGAAGGGCATTCTGAACCAAACAAGAAAGAAAGAAAGAAAGAAAGAAAGAAAGAAAGAAAGAAAGAGAAAGGGAGGTCAGGGGCCTTGGCATAAGAACATAAGAAGAGCTCTCTTCTGGATTAGGCCAAAGGCCCATCCAGTCCAGCACTCTGTACACATGGTGGCCAACAAGATGCCCACAATAAGTCCACAAACAAAATTTGAGTGCAAATGACACCTGTTTAGGATAGGCTTTATGCACAAGCTAAGTAAACTACAGTGCAGAACCTCAAAGTATGAGGGACTGCTAAATGCAAAAAACAAACAAAGCACCAAATTTCAAGTTTTACAAACTGGTTGCAAGATATATGCTTCCACCAGGGCGATAGTTTTTAGTTGCATCCTCTCCTGTGTGCCTGTATATATGCAAATATAGCAATTTTTTATTTCTGTTTTTACTGTACTTTCTGTAGAATAATGCACATATTACATTTACAGATTACAGGTTACAGATGCTTCAGGTTACAGACACTTCAGGTTACAGGCTCCGCTAACCCAGAAATAGTACCTCGGGTTAAGAACTTTGCTTCAGGATGAGAACAGAAATTGCGCAGTGGCAGTGTGGTGGCAGCAGGAGGCCCCATTAGCTAAAGTGGTACCTCAGGTTAAGAACAGTTTCAGGTTAAGAAGGGACCTCCAGAACGAATTAAGTTCTTAAACCGAGGTACCACTGTAATGCTATGAGGCCTCTGAAGCTTAACATAGATAAGGGCTTCAGCATTTCTTAACCAAGCCCACAACAACACTTTCCCTAACTACGATTCCCAACAAATGCTGCTCAGAGTTTTACTGCCTCCAACAGGGGAGATAGAACATAGCTATTTTGACTAGTGGCTATTGATAGGAATTGGCATTGACCATCAACAGTTAACACCAGGACAGAGGAAAACAGGCATCTAGCGCCTTCAAAATGGCTGCCTTGGTGCCACAGATGCTCCTGGAAGTGGAGGGTGTTGACAACTGACCCTTTGGTGCCTCCGGTGTTAACATTACTGTAAAAGAAAAGAAAGCAGTGACTATTTCCAGGGTCACTACTACCGGTAGGCAAATCTGCCAATTTTGGGTCCTGTCAGTTTCACACCCCCCCAATTTTAAGTTCAGTTCTCCACATTTCCACAACAGTTTATGATTTTTTTAATACGTCTTCCTGAAAATTCATTTGAATTTTAGTGAATTTTCTTCTAATATACATATATTTTATACAGTTTTGCCTAATATACCCATTTTTGCAGAGCAATTCCCTCCCTAGTACAATGCATTTTTAGGTTATTTTCACCAATATGTGCATTTTTTATGCACACTTGACTTCAGTATTTACTTTTTTGTACATCTTATTTGGCTGAAGAACAGTATTGCAAAACTCAGAAAAATGCTGGTGGCTGGCCATGCTTCAGTTCTCATATTGCTTTGGACAGTGTGAATTAGGTAGGTTCACCTTTAAATGTGAACCAAATTTCTTAATCATCCTTAGTCACTACCACCTTTTTTTCCTACAACCATCCTCTCTCTATCTCTAAAAATATCATCAAGATAGGAGTCTTGGTATGATGTTCTGTACTGGGAAGCCCCTGGGCAGCTGTTCATCTTATGCTGAAATTCCCTCTGCCATGCAACAATGAAAGGAACAGAAGCCCTCTTCACTTTTTCACCTGGCCAGTTCCACTAACTAAAGGAATGCCTCTAATTAATCAATTTAGAACTTTTGACTGATTATCAGCCCACTAAACTGATTAAAGTTTGGAGACCTAGTTTGGAGACCTAGTTGTCACACCCTTCATAGTTTGAACAAATTGTCTAGGAGCTCTGTTTGAAAGAAGCAGAAAATGTAATATGGGCCGAGCATGTCCATATTTTTGTGTGTGGAGGCAGAATATAGTTTCTGAGAAAACTCATGACTCCTACCTATGTTCTGTTCAGCATACATAACTTGAATTAGCTTGAGATGATTGAAATAGACCTAAGGTACAATGCGGAAAATGATGCATGCAGTCAATATTTTTAAAATTCAATTAATGATATTAATAGTTTGGTGTGGTGATATACCTTTAAGAGAACTCAGACTTAATCACATCACAGAAATGCATTAACCTAGGATTTGGAAGGAACTTGTAAGAAGGGAATACGGAGTTGGAGGAAGCAGTTAGCAGAGAGGAATATATGTATTGCTGTTGCCAAAGCTTGCAGTTCCTTGGTTTGAAATCTGAATGTCAGTGACTCATAATGCTTTGTTACAGAGTAAGCTCTATGGTCCTGAAAGCTGTGTCCTAACTACTTACTTGCTTATTTAGAACACAGATTAGACAAGCTGTATAAGGGACTGTGAGGAGCTGAGGTAAAGTTGTTAAAAATGATTAGGGGTTATATGCCGCCTCTCCTCCTGCCCCCACTGTCTCTGCCAGATGCCAGGGCACAGGTGAGATCTGTTCTCAGGATGAGGAGTCAACTCAAAGTTAGAAGCAGTGGCTAGTTGCTTTTCTTTTTTTCTTCTCTGTCACCACAGGTGCAAAAGCAGACTTCTTTTGTTGATTTGTCAGCCATTTTGTTTCCCCCATAATACCCTGGGCATAATGTTGTTCTGGGGTGTTGAGGAAATTAAAAATAGCCATACACAAATAAGTAAATGAGGAATCGGAGAAGGGCCATAGCTCAGTGGTAGAGCAAGATCATGGAGCTCAACTTCAGGACCATGCTCTTCAAAAGCTGGATGAGAAGATTGGAAGAAAGAAAAAAGTTGAAGAAAAGTGCATTTTATCATTTTTCCATGTAAACCAAGGATAATGAAAAACATATGAATAATTTTGGTTCAACCCTAGTTTCCTTTGTATACAAGTTCCAGCCTTTCAAAGTCCTTAATCATAACAAACTATATGTCAGGCTTCCCTTTTCTGGCTGATCTTCCACATCCTTCTAAGATGGTTGTTTCTTTGCTCCCTTTGTTCTTTGGAGAGGCCATCACATGAATAGAGAAAAAGCTTACCGTGACACCTTATCAAGATATATTCCTGCAAGAGATTATTTACCGAAATAAGTCATCTTCAGTCTAAGCCAGCCTTTCTCAACCTGTGGGTCCCCAGATGTTGTTGAACTCCCATCACCTCTAGCTAGCAAGGCCAGAGCTCAGGGATGATGGGAGTTTGTAGTCCAACAACATCTGGGGACCCACAGGTTGAGAACTGCTGGTACTAAGCCATTCTAGCCATGATAACCCTGACATGACAAAACTACATGAGATCACTGTGCAATCTTCTCTTGTTGCCCTGCATTCATTTGTGCTGCTTGTTTTCCCTGTGCTTCCCATAGGTATGTTGTTGTTGTTGTTTAGTTGTTTAGTTGTGTCCGACTCTTCGTGACCCCATGGACCAGAGCACGCCAGGCACTTCTGTCTTCCACTGCCTCCTGCAGTTTGGTCAAACTCATGCTGGTAGCTTCGAGAACACTATCCAACCATCTCGTCCTCTGTCGTCCCCTTCTCCTTGTGCCCTCCATCTTTCCCAACATCAGGGTCTTTTCCAGGGAGTCTTCTCCTCTCATGAGGTGGCCAAAGTATTGGAGCCTCAGCTTCAGGATCTGTCCTTCCAGTGAGCACTCAGGGCTGATTTCCTTCAGAATGGATAGGTTTGATCTCCTTGCAGTCCATGGGACTCTCAAGAGTCTCCTCCAGCACCATAATTCAAAAGCATCAGTTCTTCGGCGACCAGCTTTCTTTATGGTCCAGCTTTCACTTCCATACATCACTACTGGGAAAACCATAGCTTTTACTATTTGGCTGAGCTTGGAACTCCTTATCAATGAAAACAAAGCTTGAAGATATGTATCTGCATTTGCCCTGCCTCTCTTCTCCTGAATTAAGATTGTAATCATTTTAGGGACAAGGACTGGTCTTTTTACCAATAACATCCTATAAAGACAACAATGACACTATAAGGCTACAAGCCTATGCACACTTAATTAGGAATAAACTCTATTACCCTTTGCATGTTAGGCATTTGGCAGAACTCAGATGTTCCACCCAGAGGTTTTAAAGATTATTTATGAAATTCTACATGAAGAAAGGGGATTCATAAAACTTCATGAAATCCACTTTGCTTGCAAAAAGGGGTGTGAGTGTGTGGAATATTAAGATTATGTGTGTAAAATGTATGGACCTAATTTGTACAAACACAATTGTTGCAAATATTTCTAAAATAAGTTTTTATTAAATATTTTCTTGGATTACAAATGTACGTGAATTGTCTCTATTTTCAGGTCATAGAGTTATTTTCTACAGATTAGTTACATTCTAGGTGAGACATTAATGTTGCAATTGCTGCAAATGTTTAGCTTCTAGCCCTTTTAATAGGAAATGAAAACCAGGATCCTAATCTGATAAACTACTATGAAGAAAAGAGACTTGGTTTACTTTGGCATTGAGATTAAATGCTATGCATATGACACAGTTAGATTCTCAAATATGCCAGAGGGGCTAATCCAAGATCCAAGTCAGTTGATTTTTGTTTTTGTTTTTATTCATTGACAGCAATAGACCATGTCTTTCATTCATTGCTACTCTGGACGGAACAGAGAAAACAGCAAAGAACCGCAGCTCAGTGGCACAGTATCTGCTTTTCATGCAGAAGGCCCCAGGTACAATCACTGGTATCTCTAGATAGGGCTGGGAACACCTCCTGTCTGAACCTCCAGGAGTCAGTGTAAACAATACTGAACTAGGTTGGCCAAAGGCAGCTACATTGTACATTGCATAATAGCAGGGGCAGCCAAAATGACATTGGACTTCAGCTTCCATCAAATATCCTATTAAGAGAAACCCATCACTGCTTAAATCTGCTCATTTTATAGGTTATTATTCAGACAGACTTTTAAGGATTACTTTGGTATTATTGGGGACTGGCTTCTATTGGATAGTTTTATTAGCTTTTCTGCTTATTCCACCCCCCCTTACATTTAGATTTGTATTGTGAGTTGGCTTGAACTGTATGTTCAGGAAAGAGGGTATAAAATGTATAGAGTGGCAACAATAAAAGAAACCCATCAATATAATTCCACTGGATGCCCTGGTCTTTATACCAAACTTTTTTTTAATGAAAAGAAGTATACAAACACCTGACTAAATGAATGAATAAATAACCCATCTCAAAATGCAGTGGTTTACTGCTTTAATGAAGGCTCCAATAAAGTGTGGTGACACCTCACAGACTGTCTCCTTTATTGAGGCAATGGCTCCCTTTGTCAGATATCTGAAGAGGAATGAGGAAATCTACATACGTGTAGGTAAATATATTATAGAAGAGAAATGAAGTTACTAAGGAGAAGAGGAATACAAGAATAACAGGATCCAAGTGCCTTTTGTCTTTTCTCTTATTGATAGTTCTTGATAGCAAATCTACACAACCCCCAATCCCACACATTTGTAAATGTTTCTTTGCTTAGTCTGATTTTGTCTGCATTTGCCAATCATACTGAGAGGAAATATTCAAGGCATTACTTCCCATCCATTGACCATTATATGAACATGAAAATCAAGGAAGTTTGCAGTGAAAGACTATCCAGTACAGAAGATCATGGTGACTTAAGAGACCTGAAAAGGCCAAGGGGTACATTACTTCTTCCATTTCCTCTTTGTATATTTTATCAAGTGCACAGGACCGGCTGTGTTGGAAAGACTGGTGCCCCTAATTAGAGTAATAATATAACAAAGGATAAATCAGCATGTCCGGTGAAATCCCCAGGGTCCTCAAGGCCTATGCACGGCATAGATGTAAGACAAGGGGAAGGAAGGCAGGGAAGTCCTACAGATTAATCAGATAATAAAGGAAATTCCTTCATTCTCAAGCCTTCAGTCCTTCCCCACAACTCGCCTCTTCAGAATGCACAGAAGCTGTGTAGATTCCTCAGACCTGAGGTGGAGATAACATTGATGCTTTGGCCATGGCAAGTCATACAACAAACACAACTTTATCTCTCATCGCCACATGGAGCCCCAGAATCAATAAGCACTCATCACTCTGACATTGTGCAGGAAAGAGTTGTAAGTGGCTCATCCTCCTGCCCCCCTTTCCCTTTTCTACGAGTTCAAAGTTCATGCAAACATGGCCTTGGCAGAAACAGGAAATACATGAATATTGGTAGAAGTGTAGGTTTTGGCAGCTGCAGTGTTGCAAAAGGCTGAAAGGGAAAATGCTGGCTTTGTAGGGTGTTTGTTTTTTTCTTATTTGTTGGGGCGTCCCTCTGTGAAGATACACATCTCTCTCTCTCTCTCTCTCTCTCTCTCTCTCTCTCTGTGTGTGTGTGTGTAGGGGGGAGGTGTGTTTTCCTGTAGGCCTGGCAGGAAAGAGCAAGACGAAAGAAAAGAGAAGAAATCCTGGTACTGGAAACATCTGGATTTTTATATGTGCCTAGCATCTCTAGAGAGCTTGCTTTGTTTGTCCTTCTTGCCAACAAATTCAATAGTTTTCACTGAAATATACGGGAGCAGGAAATATATATATATTAAAGGTTAAGTATTCCTATTTTAGCTCAGTCTTTGGCTATTAAGAATGCCATCAATATGAGCAGACAATGGACTATGTACATCTCCAAAACAGAACAAAATTAATTCTGACACACAGGTCCAGAATAATTAAATAATACTAAAAATCAGAGTGAGTGACCAAGTAAGCAGAATTATTAGCGGGTAGATCTTTCTCATAGGCAGGATTCATGCTGCTACTATGTCTCAGACTGGAATCAGCCCTACTCCTTATGCTGCCTGTATTATTTTACAGCGTGGGCGTGTGTCTTCTTCACAAACCTCCCAAGAAATATTTCAGCAGACCAACACTTATTGTTGCCTTCAAAAGTGTCGACAGGTTCTCCACCTACCTTGTGTGATGGCCTGGAACTGTGCAAGTTACATAATTTGTGGCCAAACCCACCAGTCCATTGCATGTTCTCCTGCAAAGTAGCTTGAGATGGTGAGGTGAAGAAGGCATTGCAGGAGGGGGGGGGCACAACTCGGCAGGTCCAAGAAATTTTGGAAATGTAATAGCCAGGCAAAAACTTCCAGAATCAGCTGGTTTTTATTGGACTTTACAAGTCTTGTTGTGACACTATCTCTTGAATAGTTTAAAGATGGCAGTAGTCTGTTGCCATATTATTTCACATATCGGGTCTACTTCCTGGTGGGGCCGGGTTGCGGTCTGGCCCCCTAGCCACTCCCCTTAGCGTCGGGGCGGGACAGCATCCTGCATCACGCTGGGGGAGACCCCAGCTACGTCAGGTTGCCAGACAGCCAATCAGGTTGCTTGGGGGTGTGGCCGGGGACAATTTAAGCCACGGCGCGACTCTGAGGCTTCCTCTTTCAGCCTCGCGCCACGGATCTCCCACCCCCACCCCTTTTCAGGTTGCGTCATTGGCCTTGCTATGGACTTTGGTTAGTCACCGTTGAGGGGCCTGGTAGGACTTTTTCCACTTGGCAAATTGGCACCAGCCACTTGGTTTTCACCTACCTTATAGCAATTGTCACAACTTTGTAAGGTTTTGGCGGTTAGGCATTGGAATAGTGATGTGAGGGGGGGAGGTGCAACCATCAACTGCCCCTCCATGATTAAGGGTATTCCGTTAAAGGAATCCGGTGGATCTCATCTGAAGCCCAGGGAGGGGCTAGGGCCATGTCACGACCCCAGCGGGAACCCAGGGGTGCTCGAGTCAATCCACATCAGTGGGTCTCCCCCTACTGGTGGTTTACCCTTTCTTGCAAGGCAGGCAGGAGTAAGATATAGTCTGTGGATGCCAATGCCTAAGCCAATACCGCTCACATTCTGTAACCAATAAAGTTGTGGCCTAAATTCTGCCCATTAACATTAACCGAAAATCTGTATCTTTGTGTCTTTATTCTCCTGGGGTGGCTTGGGGGCCTTGACATGCAATAGGAGAACAATTTATAAGCACTGACTGGTGCTGCAATTGTTTGAAACCTGATGGCTTTTCTGCTCCTCCCATTTTAGACAGCCTATGCCACGGGTCAGCAAACTTTTTCAGCAGGGGGCCAGTCGAATGTCCCTCAGACCTTGTGGGGGGCGGCGGACTATGTTTTGAAAAAAAAAATATGAACGAATTCCTATGCCCCACAAATAACCCAGAGATGCATTTTAAATAAAAGGACACATTCTACTCATGTAAAAACACCAGGCAGGCCCCACAAATAACCCAGAGATGCATTTTAAATAAAAGGACACATTCTACTCATGTAAAAACACGCTGATTCCCGGACGGCCCGCAGGCTGGATTTAGAAAGCAATTGGGCTGTATCCGACCCCCAGGCCTTAGTTTGCCTACCCCTGGCCTATGCTCATTCAAATGGCCTTAGTTTGCCTACCCCTGGCCTATGCTCATTCAAATTGCAGCATACCTGGATTTCAGGAACATAGGCAATTTGGCAATTACATCCATGTGTACAAACAACCCAGGAGGGGGTGAAACAACAAGTGGGCCTAGATCAAACTAGGAGGGCACAGGACATAATTCATCATTTATCTAGCTTCTAAATCAAATCTGCTTTTCAGTTCTGGAAAAGGTAATTATTCTCCATGTGTCGATGCACTGTAGAGATCCCAGTTCTAAATCCAATCAGACTTTCTGAGATTTCTGAGTTTTCCCAGATGGAACTTACAAAAGATCTTCTTGATCATTCCAATAGTCCAATCACTACTTTTCAACTGGAAACAAACAATTTTGTTTTGAAAGAGAGTTTAAAGTGGCATAACAGAAAATGGCATAACAGGAGGAAGGGGAGGAAACTGAATTAGAACTGAAGCACAATTGAATTGAAGCACAACCAACCTTTGAAATTTGTATTTATCTGAATTTTGCAATGCAATTCGCCAACCAAACTATGTTTACAAAATACATTTATAGGGGAAGGTGTGCAACCAAAGGAAGATATTTGTGAAAATAATAAATAAAAGCACATTATATTAGGGGAAATTTCTTAAAAAATGTGTACATTGGTCAGAACAGAATGTAAAAATGTGTTATTAAAAGAAATGCATACAAAAATGCTGATTAATTTTCATGATTTTTTTTTAAAATTTGCACATTGCTGCATAAATGTGGAGAACTGAATTTAAGATTGGAAAAATAAGAAACTCAGAGAACAAAATCTGACAGATTCTTTCATCCCTAATGCTGTTTCTTTGGTCTCACTGTTGCCTCTGGTTGGGCAGGCTTTTCAGTTATCTGAAGCACTAAACAAAAAAACATTCAGAATCTATCTACTCAAGAACATGAACTGAGATGAGTATATGACCCAAAAGTGATGATGACAACTTTTTAGAACACCTTCAGGTCTGTCGCTGTTGTCATTTATCATAGACCTTTGTGTGTGAGAGAGTATCCAAAAACTGTACAGCCAAAATGGATATTCATGCTTACATTCTGTCTAGCTAGCATAGGTTGACTCAGAAGTCATTTCTACAAGGATAGAGGTAAAAAATTTCTGGAAATAGACTGGGCGCTGAGCCATAAAAATCATGTCTCATGGGTCAAGGGGTTACTGTCAAATAGTTCAAAGTGTGTAGCCCCAGCATAGCTAAACATGTAGATTCTAGAAGTTCTGGTCCTTATCCAAAGTTTATTATCTTGTCTTCCTTAGTCACTAATGCTTTAATCTGATTCATGGGCAACTGAAAGTCATGGGAACTTCACCATTGATTTGAGATAATCTATGCTCACATATTCATACATCACTCTTTAGACATCTGGCAACTGGGGTTTGTAAGCAATGTGTAAGCTTGAAATGTACATTCAAATGTACACAAAAATCCTGCTGATTTGAGATCAGGGTTAAGGCTATTCCATGTTGCCTCAAGTTCTACAAATGCCTACCCAGAAAGCTGAGGTAACTTTTATCTATTTTAGTAATTTAACTATTATATGTTTAAAAGCTTGGTTATAAATGTTTCCTGATTTTATTGCTTTATCTTTATTGTAAACTGCTTTAGCCCCTGCCCCCAATCAAGTGGGGTATCAATTTTATGAAATAAATAAATACAAAACCAAGAAACTGGAAATGAAGGCTGAGGCCTTAACAGGCATATTTTTTTTAACAGCAATGATGTTGTGTGATGTCACAAATTGTGCTTGCATACAATTTACCTCAGTGCACCTGACTTTTTAAAGGCCCAGATGCAGATGGGAGGATGGAGTGCCTGGGACTAGTAAAGATGCTTTATGTTGTCCTCGTATTACATCATGAAGCACTGGAGCCTTAGTGTCAGGAGCTGGTTAGACAAAGAGGACTGGTGGGAGGCACCAGCTGGGGAACCCCCAAGGGAAATCTCAGAGGAAGAAGTCTCAGAGCCTGGGGATTAGTGGTGGGACACTGCAGAGAGGTCAGAGGGAGAAGACTGGGAGGAGGTACTCGATGTCAAAGAGGCAGCAGGGTTTGGTGAGCAGGAAGAGCCTGTGAGAGGGAGCAGTTCAGACTCTGAGACTGAAGCAGAGGAGGGGGGCCAAGAGGATGCTGAAAATTCCCAGGAGTCTCCCTCTCCTGATGCAACAAGCTTCCCTTCCCCCTGGTCTCCAAGAACGTGCAGAATAATGAGAGCAGAACAGAAGCCAGAGGTGTGCCGACACAGTCTGAGACTGCTTGGAAAACATCCAGGAGAGGAGGAGCCTTAGCAGGGGTGGAAGGCAGGGGCCTTCAGTCCTGGAAACTGCTCCATAGGGGCAAGACTTGCTGGGAAGTGTTGCTGAGTTGTGGGGTATTTGTGCGTGTATGTGTTCAGTGTGTGGCCATGTCTTGTGAGGGGCTACTTTAATACATACGTACAAACAAAATTTTATATGTATGCCACAGCCCAAACCACGTTCAGGGTGGCTTAAAACATAAAAAATACATAACTACAACATAACATAAACAATAAATAAAACATTTTAAAAAAAAAACCATGAACAAACCGAACATTTCCCACATAAATCACAAGATTTAAAATATATAAAAACCCAACAACAACAACCCATCTCAAACAACATCCCCAGCCCCAGCTTTTGTAGCTGGAGTCAGTTAGGGCCCCACCCTCCCAGGCCAGATGGAAAATGGTCTTCAAGGTAGGGAACAGGTCTTCCAGGACTCACAGCCAAGATGGCCTTTTTTGAACAACTTTTGAACTGTTGCTCAGTACTTCACCAACTCAGTGAAAGTGTGTGTGGTCCTCAACAAGCAAGAACAAAGTATACCCGTGGTTTTCATCAAACTTAGAAAGAATTATACAATATCCCTGCATAAAAATTGCAATAAAAGGGGTCAATGTGTCAATTTTCAGCACATTTTCACTTGTGCCAATTTCCATTGGATTAGTTTGAAATTTGGTACATTTGTAGACCCCATCAACTAGACCATGTGCGCCAAGTTTCATGTTATTAGCTCAGCAGGTGTCTTTTTATAAGCTATAGAATTATGAGCCTTATAAAGGTGGGATTTTTCTTCTTGCTACACACTTAACTAAGTACATGTGTAAACTTCATTTCCTTGATTTGCAATGCTTAGGCTGCCATGACTCATGCACAAAAGGGAGGTGGCAGCACACACAGGGAAACCCCAAGTAGTGCAGTAGTATAGAAAAAACATTTAGGTAAAACACCTGGGGAGGACACCGCAAAACTGCTCAATGAGGCTTCAACCTGCTCAGTGGTCATGGGATGCTGACTGACTATTGAAGGGTAAACCCTCAGGAAATTGGATGGGTGGATGAATGAGATAGAGGAAGGTTGCTGGAACCATGAACAGGAGCACTACATCCTTCAACTATTTTGTTGCAGATTGCATTTGTACTTTCTATTATCAGACTCTGAGTTTATGAGTTTTCCCTGACGGTTTCTGATGCACTCCATTCTGCCTGGCAAATGCTAGAAGAAAGAGAATTAGAAGTCATTTTGGGTGTCCCAGGCGAGACAATTAGGTACCATAGAGCTTGAAGAAATAAAGCTACCTGGCCTGAGCCAGCTGTTATTCCAGGCCTTTACAAATGTAACAGGCTAATTGCAGCTCAGTCTCATAGTCAGTAGCAGTCAGTGTGGTGGAATAGGGTCATGGAACCAACTTCCTGCACTTGCATTGATGCAATTTATCTGGGTGGGACTGGGGTGGAGCAGGGTGAGGATTGGGGTGTGCTGAGCCAATCTTGCACTCCCACCAGTGCATCTATGCCAATCTGACACTCCCGCCAGCAGATCCAGCCCTGTCTAAGCAGGTAGTGGTGATACTGGTGATTGAAAGACAGTTTCATCAGTCTGTACCACCATACTCCCCACTACTGTCCTCAGTCAGGTAATGTCATGGGATTGAGCCAAATTACCCCCACAATTTTCTGACTGTCATTTACAGGTGGAGAAGACTGCAGATAATCTTGGTAAGCTGAGAGGTGGATGCGAAAGCGAGTAAGGGAAGCAACAAACTTATTCCCAGTGGGCAACAATACACCCCTAAGCTTTTGTAGCTTTTCAGGGTTCCCTAGAATGACAGCAGAAAACATTGCCTTCATGCTGACTGGAAAACAACTGCCACTCCACCCCACCCACACCGAACCTTTAAATTTTGTGTGAAAGTTTTTTGGCTCCATCTTAATTAATGCTGTCTGTAAGTGCTTGACAATCCACAAACAAACATTTGTGGTCTTAAGCAGGCAACAAAAATGGAAGTGTTATCAACTTCCTTGCTGGTGGACTGAATTCAATTCATTGGTTACAGGTAATTCTTCTTTCTTTCCTTCATTCTTCTTTTAGATGGCATGGGATCCAGGGAACTGCAAACAAGTATTTTAATGGGTTCTGCCTCAACCATGGATGATGAATCCTCTAACAAGGTGCTGGATCTCCCAATGAAGACCTGGGTGAGCAGACAGAGTTCTCCAACACCAAAACTGGAGACTTTGGTATTCTGGGAGGGACCTCCCCAGGCCTGTTTCCAGAGGGCACCCTGGAAAAGGTGGGTTCCTGACCCACCTTTGGCAGAGGAGCTCTTGGCCAGAAAAGAGTGAGCTGGAGATGGTGACCTTTGAAAAGTTGATGGGCAAAGAATATCTGGTGTCGAGGAGGAAGGAATTCATCACTAGGCTGGAGGGGTGTTGCACTTGAAATTTTGTGTTGCTTTGATGCATTGGAATGGAGTCACCTGGGGACTCTGACCTAGTGTCATTGCATAAAGGAAGATCAGAGACATGAATAAAGCATCAGTCATTAGTGAGTTAATTTAGGAGGATCCTTACTCCTTTGACCTTTCATGTATCACTGGGGACTGGTTAAATGACTAATCTGTGATAGCGTTGTTCCAGAGGTTTCCAGACAGGAATTTTGTGGAGCATCAGACCTGGATCAAGTGAAGCAGCCATTTGTAAAGACTCTATGACCTTTCAACAATATCTGTTACTTGACTCGTAATCCATGCTGCTTTGTTAGTGTTGGAGACCCACAACACATTAGCGATATGCAAAGTTCACAAGGCCTGTGCTTTTCAGGGGCAGGGAGAACTCAGTGGGCCCTTACAGCCCTGGTTACATTTCTCAGAACCTAAATCCTCCAATTTCTTGCAGGGAGTAATGAGGGTGCCTATTCTCACCATTATATGCTATGAACCTTGCAGATAACAAGGTTTCCTAAAGAAATTGAAATAATGTTGTTGTTGTTTAGTCGTGTCCGACTCTTCGTGACCCCATGGACCAGAGCACGCCAGGCACTCCTGTCTTCCACTGCCTCCCGCAGTTTGGTCAGACTCATGTTTGTAGCTTCGAGAACACTGTCCAACCATCTCATCCTCTGTCGTCCCCTTCTCCTTGTGCCCTCAATCTTTCCCAACATCAGGGTCTTTTCCAGGGAGTCTTCTCTTCTCATGAGGTGGCCAGAGTATTGGAGCCTCAGCTTCACAATCTGTCCTTCCAGTGAGCACTCAGGGCTAATTTCCTTAAGAATGGATGCATTTGATCTTCTTGCAGTTCATGGGACTCTCAAGAGTCTCCTCCAGCATCATAATTCAAAAGCATCAATTCTTCGGCGATCAGCCTTCTTTATGGTCCAGCTCTCACTTCCATACATCACTACTGGGAAAACCATAGCTTTTACTATACGGACCTTTGTTGGCAAGGTGAAGTCTCTACTTTTTAGGAAACCATCCTACCAAAGTTCAAAGTACCAAACTGGTCCAGGAGTTTTTGTGCTAGGTGGTTCTACCCTTGCTATAAAAAACTGGAAAAGTCATCTTTATTTTTAGCTGCTCCACCCCTTTCTGGAAGCACTCACTGCAATGACAAACGAAGTGAGAGAGTGAGCTATATATTTTTAAAAAAACTGTTAGGGAAAATAACAATTGGGAAAGAAGTAAGGAACTCTGATAGTCTAACTCAACAGCTTATGCCCCGCTCTCACTGCTAAAAATTATGTCCGCTTCAACACCCTGCCCCCAAATCCCTATGACTGGAATGCTCTGGGGAAATAATTCACTATGGTTAAAGTTATATGTGCCTATCAAAATGAAAGATCCCCTCTGAAAACCTCAACATGTCTTCTTTCTCCGTGGCTCCCAGCTTGAATTCTGGGCATTTCCCCAGTTATCTTGCTTTTGTTTCTCTGAAAATAAAGGGGGGGGGGCTGTGTACTTAGCTTTATGGAAAAACCAAGGAAACAGAAGTGGTCAGGAGGCCGGGCACTCCCTGACTTGCCTTGACATGCCTTGTTAACAGCAGAATCTGACTTGGTAATGTGAACGACTGCCTCAGATCAACCCTATTCACTTTGTTATTTGGGGTTCATGCTGCTGATGCAGACCCCCTAGTAGCTTAATAATGGAGCAAGACTACACACCACACTTCAGTTGTGTTCAACATTAGCCTGAATATACCTTCTATATTGCAAAGCTCTGGTGGGGGTGGGGAGAGAGAGGAAACAGCAGGGGGAGGGCTGAAGACCAGCTGCTTTCCATCTGATCCCACTCCCCATGATCCCACTCCCACGTGGGCTTTCCATAAGCTATTCATGGGTCTGATGGGGAAAAGGCAGCAGAAGGGGGCATGGCAGTGGAAATATATAGCTGAAGAAACTGGGTTAAGCACCCCTCTCCATTACCTTTCTCATTTGCAATGCACTCAGTGGCGGAGCTTCTTGCTCTGGCACCAGGGGATGGAGAGCAGTGGGGGTGTGGTGCACATCCTGGGCATGGCACGCCACCTACAGGGGTGTGGCATGCATCTTGGGGCGTGACGCGCCACCTGCAGAGGCATGGTGTGCCTCCCGGGGGCGTGGCGCATTTCCTGGGGGGAGTGACTCACCACCTGGGGTGTGTGGTGCCTAGTGTGGGCAGGGGGCAGCCGCAATGGCACCCTACCGGGGTTGTGCTGCGGGTGGTGGTGCACTCCCCTCGCCCCCTCTTCCTCCACCAGTGAATGCACTTACTCCTCAGAGCTACAGCAAAATGTGCAGTTTCACCCAGGTATATAGGAAGGCTTGCAAAAAAGAAAGAAGAAGGATTTGTTTCAATTGATGCATCCTGCCAAGAGAGAGAAAAAATACTTGTGTTGAGGTGCAGAGGATTTTTCTGGACTGTAGACATCTAAATTGGGCAGAACTATCTCCTAGCAGGGAATGAGTCAAAAAGGTTTCTATTGCGAAGCACCCATTTCCTCATCTTCCATGAAATCTCAAACAGTGAATATAAAATAAACACTGGCAAGGTTTTTTTATTATTATTATTCAATATAATAAAAGGGAAGGTTGGCCAAGGAAGGCAGTAGTCCAGGCAAGTCCACAGGGCAAGTCTCAACTGTGTATATGTGTGTGAGAATTTGTAGTCATCTGGGAGCTGCCAAAAGAACTGCCAAACCCTCTCTGGTTCCTGCTGCCTGCTCAAGTCTTTTCTTTAGAGCTTATAGTGCAGCCAATCCCTATGGTTAGACTGGAAAGGGGTTGTGAGGAAAGTAGAAATGATATGAGGAATACTAGAGAGGCATGAGCTCCTCAAGCTCAATTTGTGCTGGGTCCAGGAATTATTAGCAAAACTGGAAATGCTTGGAACTCAAAAAGTTCTAAATTGTCTTGTAATTGTGATGAAATTTACCAGATACCCTTGGAAAATGTTGTTTCTCAGGGCTCCCAGTAGATATCAACACAACACTGTTTGGTAGACTGGAGAGAAGGTGAACATTAATTAATTAATTTTTATATCACTATATGCCCAAGTGCCAAAACAGCAAGGTAAGCCAGTGAGTCAGTGGGAATGGGAGTGAGATACAAGTTCTTCCTTGGCTCAGGTTAAAATCTGGGCTAGAAAATAGCACACAGCCATAGGACTTGCCCTCCTATTGAAGATGAAATTATAAGACTCCAGAGTTCTTATTCCAAGTTCAACTTTTGGGTGGCAACTTGAAAAAAAAAGTCTGTAAAAATATCTAAAACATGACTTCTGTTCATAGCTTGGAATAAATAATGTTTTCTGCCACCAACAAGACACTAAATGTTCATTTTATATTTTCTAAATTTGTAATTAACATGTCACATCTGCATTGGCTCAGTCCTCTTGCCCATGGAGGCATATACAGAAAAAATGTCATTGTCAATGTCATTTTAGGATGATTTGTTAAAATGCCCTAAAAGTACCCCAACTATTTTTTAAAAAAATAATTCATTTACATCCTGCCCAGCATCTCAGAGGTGTACAATCAAAACAGTAAAATGATTTTTTTAAAAAGCAAATCTCAAAACTCACAGCATCCAAAATATGTAGGATCTAAATTGGGAACTATTTTTATTACTGTAAAGACTTCAGAGCAGCCAAGAACTTTAGTCACTTGGGCATTTCTATACTGTACTGTGATTGTTATCTGAACATGCCTTACCCAAAGTACACCATTGTAAACAATGGCCTTAAGTTACTCATGAGTTTATTAAGCCCATTGATTCTAATAGGCTACTCTGAGAATGACTTAGTTGGACACCACCCCATATCCTTAAATGGTATTATTCATTATTCCTGCTGGGTTTCCTGTAGTTTATTTTGAGGAAAACCAAGGCAGAGTGGTACAACATCAATATAACTTTGTAAGGCAAATATGTTCTGTTTCTGAAACTGGCACTCTCATGAAGAAGAAGAAGAAGAAGAAGAAGAAGAAGAAGAAGAAGAAGAGTTTGGATTTGATATCTCGCTTTATCACTACCCAAAGGAGTCTCAAAGTGGCTAACATTCTCCTTTCCTCCCCCACAACAAACACTTTGTGAGGTGAGTGGGGCTGAGAGACTTCAAAGAAGTGTGCCTAGCCCAAGGTCACCCAGCAGCTGCATGTGGAGGAGCGGAGACGCGAACCCGGTTCACCAGATTACGAGTCTACCGCTCTTAACCACTACACCACACTGGCTCTCATGAATTCTTACAGAAAAAAGGGAAACTAGTTTGAAGATTTCAACCTGTATCACTTTCAGATAAATCAGCAGTCCCTCTGTGGTGCTTTGAAAATAGTTAGGATGGTTGCAGTAAATGACTTCCAGGCTTGAAAAATATATAACTCCCCAATCTGAGTTCCTGTTCTGTTGAATCAGCTAGTATGCCACTGTGCATGGCACCTGTTTGCTAGACCAATTACTTGGCATGGAATGGCTGTAGAGCCAAATGAAATGTATCTATAGGCTCATAAGTCAGGCTGCTGATAAAGAATATTATTGTCTATGAAAGTTTTTACTATTGTAAACCTGATGAAATTCAAGATGCTAAGATGCTTATTGCTACTAAAACAAAGATTGCTGCTGACTTTTCAAGAACTATATTAAGGGGATACACTAAACATAGGGCCCTTATATTTAGGACTGTAATAATTCAGCCCCCATGTGATTCAGTTCTGTCCTTTCTACTCTTTCGTGTTAAGTTTGGTGGGTACCAGTTATGAGCCGGTGTGGTGTAGTGGTTAAGAGCAGCAGTCTCGTAATCTGGTGAACCGGGTTCGCGTCTCTGCTCCTCCACATGCAGCTGCTGGGTGACCTTGGGCCAGTCACACTTCTTTGAAGTCTCTCAGCCCCACTCACCTCACAGAGTGTTTGTTGGGGAGGAGGAAGGGAAAGGAGAATGTTAGGCGTTTTGAGACTCCTTTGGGTAGTGATAAAGCGGGATATCAAATCTAAACTCCTCCTCCTCCTCCTCTTCTTCTTCTTCTTCATATACTGAAACTTGGTTACATTGGTGAGCTATTACTATATCCAAGGCATCACACTATGTTCCATGTATGCTGAACAAGGAAGATGTAAACTTTCCTTTTGAATGTCAGTCTGGCTTCCAAATAATCCTCTGTTATAAACTCTCCTGATTTTTCCACTAAACTTTGTTTATAACAAACAAATGGTACCAACAATAAAACATTGTTGTGTGCAGTGCTCCTGTTCAGGATACTCCATTCCATTCCCCACCCAGCCACTTTTACATTCCCATCCACAGCTATAGTCAGTCAGCATTTTGTCACCACTAAGCTCCCTCTGTCTTCACTAGGCTGTTCCGGGTTTTTCCCTACATCCAAAGTGTGTGTATGACTTGGGGAAACTTGAAGGTTTATAAAATATTATTATAATATATATATATATATATGTGTGTGTGTGTGTGTGTGTGTGTGTGTATAGTCCAAAGTTAGTTTATATATAGATATATATAACATTTTGCAAACCTTCACATTTCCTGAAGTCTTCTGATACCTTGTTCTTTTGCATAGACGGTGCTGCTTTGGCTATATAAGGATCTACACTTGGAGAATTGTGTTCACCATTAGTATATATGATCTTTCATTTCTTATTGTATGTTATGATGAATGTGTACTGAATGAAGACAATCACAGAGCTTTTTTAATGTTTGAAAGGTCAGGTATGCATCTGTCACTGATGGAAGTCACTTAATCATATTTAAGTGGTCAATGGTCACTGCTATAAGTTCAGAAGTGGAGGGAAATGGCAGACATTAACATAATTTCCCCAGGACTGTCAGGATTCACTTGTGAAAGTCAACATTAAAAAAAGTTTCACATTCTCTATAACATATATATAAACTTTGTTGCTCCAAAAATGTTCATTTGATTTCTTGAAAATTTCAAATAAAATGTATGTATGGCAGAAGCTGGAAGGTATATGATATATATCACATTTTGTTCAACTCCCTTAAAAATGTAATCACCTTTAATTCCGTTCATGAAAAGTTTGACTTCAGAGGATCACCAGACATCCAAGAATAACAATTCTACCTGGTCTTATAATGTGCTGTGATTATTTGGCTTTGCTTATATGTCTCAGGAAACCTAGGCTATAAGATTCATAATTGTCCTTTGAGATATCCTATTCCCTTTTGCTCTGTCTGGATTAGGTTTTTAAAATATACAAATTAATTTGGTGTCTGAGTCTTTTTCTATTCATTGATGCTGCCCCTTTAACCAACACACACACACTCACTCACTCATCTGTCTTCAGGATAAAGCTGTTCTCATCAACATGCAGGGAGCCTGCTTGTCTGTCACATCGCCCACATCTTCTCAATCACTCCCTTTCATTTATCCTTTTATGCCCCTATTTTAACTTATGCTGCTGCTGATACTTGGTGACAGGAGGGATCCAGCTGAGCATTAATCCCTCTATGCCATAGAGTCTATGTCTGCATAAGACCAGTCCAACTTGATCAGAAGAACATAACAGCACAGCAGCTTTCTAACAGAAGGGAAGGCTGTTGTGATGCAAGCAAAAGGATAAACCTGTAACTGGAGCTAATCATGAGTGCAAGGTGTGTTTTTTAAAAAGAAAATACTGACTTTCTAATAGTCAAATGGTAATTTTTGACACTGATAACGTTTGCACATTTAAATTCATCTCTGTTCTCCTTGAGAAGCATTTTAGATGAATAAGCTCTATAAACTTAAGGCAACAATACTACTATTGGTTATACAGCGAACACAGTGGCTGCAGGCACACCTGTTTCTCAGCGGTGTTTTCTACAACAGCATGGGTAACATATAGGGATGTCTGTGCTTTTTATAGCATCTGTGTACATCTGTCAGGGAAGCCTAGCATAATCAGGGCTCCCAGGTACCTGAATGCAGGTGTTTAAAGCACATCTATATGTTTATGTGATGCATGTGTATTGTCCACTTTACTGTGGACAACACAGGTAGGACACATCTGTGAACCTAATAATAATGATAATGACAACAACAATTTACAACATGGAAGTTGGTAGCAGCTGCATTCACTAAAACCCCAACTGGCTTTTGAGGTAAGCCAGAAGGGGCTCCCAAATATTTACTTCTCCATATCTGAGCAAACAAAAACTGACCCTACTCCTTAAAGGAAATGCCCTGGCAAGTAATCTGGGATGTTGCGAACATACTTCTTGTTGTGTCTTAAAGATAACATTGATAATGGAGGGGTGTGTGTGTGAAATTAACACATCAATTGCATCCTATATTGAGTAGTGCAGACAGAAACACGTAAAAGGAGCGACTGGGCTGATTTTGAACATGTGTAAGTATTGCATCCAGGAGTCTGTCTATCAGTCCATAATTGGACAATTACAAGTCTCTGCTCATGCTACTGGCTGGCTGCCACATCCTTTATTGGTGGCTGCCCTATGATGGTGAGCGGTAGAATGCCTTTGTCTCTCCAGCTGTCCTTCAAAGATGCACCCTTGGGATAACACAAAATAACAACAACAACAACAACAAGAACAATTTATTTATACCCCGCCCTTCTGGCTGGGCTTCCCCAGCCACTCTGGGTGGCTTCTAACAAAATATTAAAATACAGTAATGCATCAAACATTAAAAACTTCCCTATACAGGGCTGCCTTCAGATGTCTTCTAAAAGTCTGGTAGTTGTTCTCTTTGACATCTGGTGGGAGGGCGTTCCACAGAGAGGGTGCCACTACCGAGAAGGCCCTCTGTCTGGTTCCCTGTAGCTTAGCTTCTCACAGTGAGGGAACCGCCAGAAGGCCCTCGGCACTGGACCTCAGTGTCTGGGTAGAACGATGGGGATGGAGACGCTCCTTCAGATATACTGGACCAAGGCCGTTTAGGGCTTTCAAGGTCAGCACCAACACTTTGAATTGTGCTCGGAAACGTACTGGGAGCCAATGTAGGTCTTTCAAGATCGGTGTTATGTGGTCTCGGCGGCCACTCCCAGTCACCAGTCTAGCTGCTGCATTCTGGATTAGTTGTAGTTTCCGGGTCACCTTCAAAGGTAGCCCCACATAGAGCGCATTGCAGTAGTCCAAGCGAGAGATGACCAGAGCATGCACAACCATGTCACTTTGAATGGATTACGGGTGCAACACATGCATCTTCATAACAGAAGACAGACAGCTGCCTGAATAAGAATCTAGATCTCCTTCTTACCTCCTGCACACGGGAATCCCCACCTCCACCCCCATGCATCCTTAGGGCCTGAGTAGGACAAAGTAATTTGGATACAGCCCTTAGTGTTTAAGATGCTGTTGTAAATGTGAGGGTGCAGTCACACATGGTATTGTGGGGTGACTCAGGATATTGCTGAAATATGTCAGCATGAAGTGATCCTGGATCCATTAAGATGTTGAGTGACAACATCTTAAGTCCATGGCCTAGGAAGAAAACTGCCTTTGCATTGCAACTACACATGAAGGATAAATCCACATTTCAGAGCCCCAACCTTTCTGCCCTTTCTATTTTTTAAAAAATAGAAAAGCCACTTTAGGAGTTAGCAACTGACAAGACCGTATGTGATGATCAGACAACGTTTGTAAGTTTTCAGGAAGTTCTGTGAAAATCAGTATTAGAAATATTGTATAAAAATAAGGTAGATTATGATGTTATTATAGTGCAATATTAGTTAGAGAATGTGTAAGAAGTGATTAAGATGGAGAATTATCAGATGAGTTGATGGAAGTCCAAAAGATGATGTTGGTGATAAATTGGATGTTATATTTTGTATAATGCTATATTTGAAATATATATATATATATATATATATATATATATATATATATATGCAATTGACGAGACCAAAGTGGTCCTCTGGGGAGTTTCAAATACAAAGGTTTCCTCCCTCCACTCTTTATCCACACTTCATTTCTTACTCCAGAGCTGATTTCAACACTTTGCATTTAACCTGCTATTTGCCCTTAGACTCTTGAACAGGGTGCCAGGGATTCAACTAGGGTCTTAAAACCATTTCACATATTATGAGCTTCATGTAAAGCTGTTCAGTCTCCTGTAAGAATGGTCCTTAATATAAAGGTTTTCTCTTTCCTCTGTTGATGTGGTTGAGTTAAGCATGTATATCTCTCCCTGTCCCTCCAAGGTATTCCATATAACCATGGCAGGCATTCAATCCATGTGTAGACCATTGGTGCTGCTATCATCGTTTTATAAAGCAACTAAGATTTGCTCTGATACATCCGCATTGTATTTGTCCTGTATATTCAGCAGTATCTGGTTACAACATTTCATGTTATTCATGATAGTTAGTTACATAGTGTAATGCACTAATTGTCAGGATAGAGTGTCTCACTGATACTCCTCCACTGTTGTCCAATTGCTACTTGTCATTTGGCTTTACTGGGGCTGCAGATGTTGCGCTTCTTGTTCAAGTTACAATAATTCTGCACAAAGCTGAAAAGAGTATTGACAAAGCTCACCTCAGCAGTGAGTTTGAAGCCACTCTACAGGGAAGGGCCTTCTCCAGACTCAGTTGGGAAGCATGGAGAATGTCATGCCAATGTCAAGCACGCACGCACACACCTCGCAACCTTTGAGATGCTCAACATCCAAAAATTGTGAGCAAACCTGCAAAGAGCAATGGTGTGCCTCTATGTGAAATTGATACAATTCTTCCTGTAGCTTTGCACGACTCAGGAGGAACCCCATAACATCGGAGGTGAACTTTGCAACTTTGAGGTCATTGCCTTAATGATACATTTTAAGGAAAGGTGGGATACAAATGTTTTTAATAAATACATCAATAAATTTCACCTTTAGACTGAAGTGTCTTCACAGGCTCTGCTGCAGTCTGATCAGTTTTATGATCTATCCAAAAATGATTTTGACCTCTCTCATTCCTTTCCCCCCCTTTAGTGGATTGTGGAAAAGAGTGATTAATTTTTGAAGAAATAGAGGAAATGAAGGAGGCAAAAAGAAAAAGCTGCAGTTAGTAAAAATCAATATATTACATTGCAAAAACATGGAAGTGGTTTTGCTTTCAATGTCTCACGGCTGAAGTGGGCAACGGCAGGATCGCCGTAGCGGATGACACTGCCATCATGTTACTGGCAAAAGCTCAAGAGGACTCTCTGAACCAAACGGCCTTGAGGAATGTTGAGATTTGCTGACAGGAAGTTCGAATAGACCAAAACAAATTGTGATTGACAGGAAAAGGGGAAGAAACAGAACACAATCTCCAGGGAAAGCAGACAGGGTAGTAACATAAATGCACAGCTATTTTTGAATGATCTGTGCAGAACATGCACATATGGTGTAGGAATACATGCCTTTCTCCTTGCAAGCCATGGAAACTTTCCACTGTATCTACTCCTCTAGATACAGCATTCCTTCACTTAGGAACCTCTGGTCTTGCACTCATGGTGCAAATCATGCTCAAAAGCTAACAGGCAGGCTCTACCATCATTTCCCCTTCCCTCTTCTTTTTCTTTTAAAATGCGACACCTTACAGAACTAAACTAGAGTGATTGCCTTTACAAAGTAATTTTTTGGGGGGGTGGAATGAATGAATTTTCTTTCATTCTCCTTGCAATCTTAAATTTGGTTCACATTTCATCAGCAATTTTCATTTAAAAAAACAACCCTACCCAAAACATTATTCTAATATATGCAAATTTGCAAGCAATTTCCTGCCATATAATTCATTTTTGTATGTTATTTTCACTAATGCATACATTTTCATGAACACCTCCCCCTGATTTATGCATTTTTGTGCACATTGGTTTGAGAAATGCATCACAAAATCTGGATAAGTGCATATTTCAATGGATAATTCTGTTTCAGCTTGGATATTAGTTAAAAAAAAAGAGAATCAGGTAGCTTCTCATTAAAATGCAAACAAAATTCTGTTTTGTTAATTCTGTTTCAGCTTGGATATTAGTTAAAAAAAAGAGAATCAGGTAGCTTCTCATTAAAATGCAAACAAAATTTAATTTCTTCTCCATCTCTAGTTATAGCTCAGATCTTTTTATCTAAAAAACTGTCTTACAGTATCTTTAACTTTTGGGGGGGTAACTCTCTTTGGTTCTGATCTTTTCATCTGTGGTCTCAAAGCTAGCTGCAATGGAACAGATACAATTGTGAGAAAGAACCATCCAAAGGAAGCATTAGATCAACAGGACAGTGAAGAAAACAAGGAACAAATGCATGAATGGAAGAAATCAAAATAGAAGCCCTTATTCCTTGATGTGATGCTTTATCAGGCATGGCCAAACTTGGCCCTCCAGCTGTTTTGGAACTACAACTCCCATCATCCTTGGCTAACAGGACCAGTGGTCAGGGATGATGGGAATTGTAGTCCCCAAACAGCTGGAGGGCCAAGTTTGGCCATGCCTGCTTTAAATGAAGGAAAATACTTGAATAGGGATGTTATTCTGTCAATGAACACAATAGGGCAGGGATAGCAAACATGTTGCTTTCCAGATGTTGTTGGATTCAAACTCCCACCATCACCGACCTTGGCCATGCACGCTGGGGCTGATGGGAACTGGAGTCCAACATCTGGAGGGCACCATGTTGGCTGCTTCCAGTTCATGGAACTGGGGTGCCTGATGCATAAGGCCGGAGGGGAAGAATGAATGGAAGAGGAATGTCCTGGTTAAGGCAGCAAGAAAAGTGGCGGAGTTGAGTAAAGTTGGGCAAGTAAGGTTGGAAAATGGAGCAAGGCTGGGCAAGTAATTCCCCCTGAACAATTGGCCACAGTTGATGCTACTAACTAGATGAGAGTGCAATGATAGTAAAGGAAGAAAACTGAGAAGAGATGAAGCAAAGTGGAAGCCGATTCTACTATGAAAAGGAAAAAGAGAAAGTTAATGTTTGTAAAACTTATTGTTCTATACTTCAATCTGCAGTCATGAAGGTGGGGACCTATAAGATAATACACTGAGGTTGCAACCCTATACGTGGCTGAAAGCCCCACTGAGCTCAATGGGGCTGACTTCTGAGTAGGCATGTCTAGGATTGCATTGCTAATGTATTACTAAAAAGAAAAGACATTTTCCATTACATCACTGTCCTCAGCCAGTCTATCATTTCAGAGGGCCCAAGCAAAAGCAAATGATAATCTGCATAAAATCAAAATGCAGGTTATAGATAAAAAAAGTTAAATCTATGGAGCTCTCCTCAGACAGCCTGTCATGCTTCCTTGCTATATTTCCATCACTGCCGACAACATAATGCTGCCACACCATTCATGTTCCAAGGAACACCTCAAGTCAGGTAGACACATAGCAGGTTAATTAGGGGGCTTGGTAAATTGAATCCGCGGACTGTAATTACCGGCACTCAAGACCTGCAATTTCTGTTTTAATTAAAATAAACAGTGTGAAGAAGCTGACATCACAGCAGAGTAACCAGCGTGTAAGTCACAGTTAATTATATTGAACTATGACCTCCACTGTTGGGGAAGGAGGTGCTGGCGGGGGCTTGATTTGAATACACAAGTACTGGACCTGATCGGTCACCTCAGCCGAATGGATGCACACCACAAATTCGCTCTTTGGGAGTGGGCAAATCCATTGCTAAGAATCTTGCATAAATGAAATCTATCAGAGCTGGTTTTTGCTTTAACTAAAAATTAGGTAGGATTTTGCTGCCATCATTTCAGAGTCCTGGTCTTTTCTTCTATTCATTCCCCCACCTCTGAACAACTAGGGGCAGCTAGCTCCACCAATTGATTAGGTGGCGTACTAGACGTATCTCAGAAAATGTCCACAGGTTCCAGCAGGACTAAATCAGGTAAAGCCTGCACTCTGCCTTCATTGACTTGAAGATAAAATATGAAAATATAACAAGATCTGCTGCAGAAAATATGCAAGATCATGAACAAAGTCATGCATAGCTGGGGCGGATTTATGGCAGTGTGTGCTGTCGCACTGGGCTTGCAGTCAAGGAGGGTGCCTTCTCAAAGCCCAGTAAGTGCTTGCCCAATTTCAAGAATGTGGCATGAGGGCTCTGACAGGGTCCTAGAGTCCTCCTACTTCTTTTCCAAAACTGGGCAAGTGTTTACCAGGCTTTGGGAAGAAGGTAGGAGGGTTCTAGGACCCTGGCAGAGCCTTGTGCCTCCTTCTCAAAGTCTGGCTTAAACCAGTACCACAAGGGCTGGAGGGAGGAAGTCAGATGGCCTAGCACAGGGCAGCATGTTATCAAGGTCTGCTCCTGTGCATAGGCTCTAACATGAACCACACCCATACTACAGAATCATTAATATTCACTTAACCTCAGCAAAGGATGGTTTTAGGATGAAATATTGTACAGAGGAAATTTCAGAGAAATAGAACTGGGTGACCATCCTGTACCTTGTGACATAACACTGATAAACTGCCAGGAATTCAAAGCACAGTCATACAATACTTTCTGGAATCAATCCCATAAATATGCCTGAAGCCACAGTCCAGGAGAATAGCATGGACAACAGTATGCTGAAGATTCACCTATTCTGCCAAATTTATACTGTTCTGTTCCATTTGGGACCATTTCACTTGTTTTATATTTATAGTGGCTTATCTGTTCTTATAACCGTATGCTGTTATAACTTGCTCTGTGAACTTATGGTGATGGGCAGAAAAGAAATCTTAGAGTTCAATCAACCGAAACCTGCTGAGAGATCCAGGAGCCTCAACAAGATCACACTTTCCCTGCCCGTCACCCAAAGAAGGTCATCTATCTAAGACTGATTCTGTCTCTCAACTGGGCCTGAACCCAGACTGGAATGGATCAAGAGGATTCTAATTATCTTCAAGCCAACACAAATAAAAGCCTCCAGCAGACCTTCCCTGCTTAACATGGGGAGGGACAGAGACAGAACAGGTGGGGTGACATGTGTGGAGATGCTGAGGGGTGGGGTGGGGGCTGCATATGCCCTCCTGCCCCCACCCCTGGTTCTACAGCTCCCATGTTTAGATGAATGTCTGAATGTAGCATATATAATACAATTCCAAGATGGGTCTTCTCTAAGCTGGTTATTCTACAAAATGAATAGGAATCATTAGATTCATTTCCCTATAAACTCAAGCACTTAAGATAAAAGAGAATCCACATCAAACCAATTCTCCCAGATCAATTTCCACAGCTGTGGTATCTCCACAGTTTGATCTTTGGTCTGTGTTCATGCTCAGAATAAAATTGCATCACATTTGGGCATTAAATGAATGCTGTCCATTAAAAAAAGAACACCTCCTAAAACTTGCTTTATAAATTCATTTGACTCCAGCATGCCCATTAGCCACCGTGGCAAGTTCAAAGTTTTGTTGACATTCAAAGCCCTAAACAACTTGGGACCAGGATTTCTAACAGTCTGCCTCTATTGGTGCAGTGAAGCTAGTTGGTAGAATCTTCCAAGGAGACCATGCTGGTTGACCAACAAATTGTCACTTATAGATGAAATGGAAGCAGACCTTGTTGGTGATAGCACCCACCTTCTGAAATAACCTCCTCCAGATTATTTGCGAAGCAGAGGCAATGGCGATCTTTAAATGTTTCTTTGAAATTTATATGTGCAATCAAATCTTCCTGGACTCTGACTCTTCATTTTTTTAGTTCCTTGTTCTGCTTGGCTTTATATAGTTCTGCTTTGTTTTTATCTACCTTTTAGGAAATTTTGTTTTGTATAATCATTGCTTTTATGTAAACTGGTACAAACACACACACACACACACACACACACACACATTTCATAAATAAACAAGAAATAGACAAATTAGGGACAGATTGGGTAGGGCCAGACTGCTCAGCATGAACAGCCCTATGCCTTCTACTCACAGAAGGTTTCCTGTTCAGGACTATAATCTCTTCCAAAATATATTTTCTTATGGGAACCTCAAAAGAACACTGCCAGCCTAGGCAGCATTAATGCCCTACATCCATCCTGCATTTTGCACTCCACCCAGGCTTCTCTTCCAGCCACTCCCTTCACCCACTTCCAAATTCACATCATCGTTGATAGCATCTGACATGCTAGGAACATCTTCTCAGTGAATGCATACTGGTCATCTTTCTTTACAAATGCTCAGCAGTTCATAATGGCGCTCTCCTATATATTATAAATACCCAAGACTCCACTCATAGCTGTGAAGCGCTCGGACAACGAACAGACATTTATTATCTGTGCTCGCTCTTTTACAGAATCACAACAGTCTACAGCAGCTACTGCTTCTGTTTCCAAAACAGCCTCCAAGTTTGAAAAATAGTACATCTGGATAAAACAGCTACTGCGGAGACTGACATGTCAAAATCCATACTGATGTAATGTTCTAGAAACTGCAATGAAATCATGGAAACAGTTAACAGAAAAATCACAAGTGGGGACTGCATCATAATGTTTCAGGGACTAGGCCTGGGAGTAACTTCACCTGTCAAGGATATCTTCTTGCATCAGCTATCTAGAGCAAGTCAGAGGACTGACCTTGACACATACCAAAAGCTTCAGGAATAGGTGGGTTTGAAAGTTGTTGTATGGTAAGCCACCCCAAAGGCCATTGGTTTGGAAAGACAAAGTATACGTAAACATTTCTGTTTCAGGTAACGGATTGTCATTGCCATTTACCCTCAACTGCACAAGTTCTAAGTCTATCACTAGTGATCACTAGTGCCCCTCTGGAAAGGGTTTTTCTGAGGAACCCCAATGAATCTGATTTATTAGGAGGCATCTGCCCTATATTAGCCATATGTCAATGTGAAAACTTCCTCATTTCATCCAGACTGAACTTGCAGTGGATTTGAAAAAGGCATTACAGATTTCAATATGGTCAATAGGATTTATTTATTTTTAAGTGCAATTCCATATTTTTGGAGCTGCAATGTTTGATTTGAATTCTTCTTTGAGTTCAGTAGCAGGCACTAAATGCAATTAAGGGTGGAGTGTACCAGAACCCTATTCCTTGCAAAGCTTGGAAGGAAGGGTGCCTTCTCCCTAAATTGCCATAACGTTTCATGGAGTTCCACTTATTGCTTATCCTATTTTCTAGGAGAGAATGGCTTTCCCAGATTCTCCAGTGAATCATGACTCAGATGGAATTTCCAGTTATCCTCACCAGACTTTATTTACAGAGCAATCCTAAGGCCCTGCTTTGAATACTATGTCAGGGCTAAGGTAGTTGTGATTATATTTACACTCAGCAGCAATATTCAAGCCACAAGAACAGAACAGACACTGGCAGACAATCTAACCCCTCTTTCTTCAGATACCATTTTGCCCAGCCAACATATCCAGTCCATGTCTCCCCGATGTTCACATGGTTGTGTGTCACTGATTATAGTCCCAGGAAGCTATAATCCAAAACCTTCACACTCCATTTTAAGATACATGACTGGTTTATCATGAGAGGAGCAACCAGGCAGGACAATGAGCTGCATTGCAATGTGGACACCTATCACCATTGTGGGTATTCTAGTAGCAAGACTATGGGCATGATAGCCTTAGTGGTGGCTGTGGTGAACCCACTGCCTCCCTCTCACTGTATGCCTCTCATGAAGACCTCTAAGTTTAGCTACCACATGGGAGATGGAGCAAGCTTGTTTTCTCCTGCTCTGGAGGGTAGGCCCCAAACCAATGGATTCCAGTTACAAGAAAGAAGATTAGGAAGAACTTTCTGACAGTAAGAGCTGTTTGACAGTGGAATGGATTCCCCTTCCTTGGAGGTTTGTAAGCAGAGGTTGGATGGCCATCTGTCATGGATGCTTTAGTTGAAATTTTTGCATCTTAGGGAGTTGAACCAGATGACCCCCAAGGTCCAACTCTACAATTGTATGACTCTACGATTCTATTATTTGGATGCATCTTCTGGATTCTGACAGGTGCCCCTAGAACAAAACAAGTAAATGACTATGTACTTTCAGTACCTCTGTTGCTTTACTGGATTGCCTTTTGGACTTTGTTCTGCCCCTCCTCAATGGACATAAGGAGTAGTTAGTGTGGGTGTGGGTGTGGGTGTGTATGCATGCCAATGAGTGTGACCACAGCTGATGGTGGTTGTGCCATTCACACACCCATTCACAATCACACATACATGTACACATACAAATGCATTTACAAACAAACGTGCACACATACTCATTTGGAGGACACATGCAAACCCTCTCCTCTGAGTCCTCCTTCCTTCCTATTGCATATCCTGGTCCTGGTCTCATCCACAGCATATATTTAAAGCAAGTGTAATGCACATTTAAATCAAATGGCTTCCCCCAAAGAATCCTGGGAACATCCGTCTGTTAAGGGTGATGTGAAATGAAGCTCTGTGAGATGTAAACTACAGGTCCCAAGATTATTGGGGAGAGGGAGCCATGTGCATTAAATGTGCCCTAAATGTGCCATAAATACATGGTGTGGATGTGACCCTTATTCTTCTCTGCAGAAGGAACACAATGTAGAATGGAAGGATGCAGCACAAGGATGGTCCTCCGCACATGCCATCCTTCCCTCTCACAGTTTCATTATCCCAGTAGCTGTTTAGCATACCATAGTGAGCAGCACGTGGGAATGGCCCTCTTGATGCACCCTCCTTCCCATCACAACTCTATCTCCCCCAGTGAGTGGGAGCATGAATTACAGCAGGATGATGGCAGGCAGGCTTGGAGGTGCATGAGCTTGGCATGGGAGGAGTCAGCAGTGGAGGAGTGGCTTGGCACCAGCACAGGATGCAGTAAAGGCATTTGAAGGTCTCCCGTCCCTGGAATGCAGGTTGCCCAGGTGTGCTGGAATCTTAAAACTTTATTATTGTGCCAAATTGGTCCATATTGACAATGTCATAGACAAATTTGGTCTCCCTGCTCTAGTTATGAATTACTTACATCAAATCACTTGCAACTTATTCATAAAAAGACCAAGATACCAAGGAGGCAAATATGGCTGCATTTGTGAGCATTGCCAGTGCAGAACAGTACTTGGAGAACATGTATTTTACATTCAAATGATAGTCTCTTTACATGTGGGTGTATGATTTGAATAAATCCATGGCCATGAACAAGCATTGTTCTTATTAGGTGCAGTGCTAGTCTGTCAATCTCCATCATTACAACAGAGGTAAACTTGTGACTTGCCTTTTTTTATGGACACATTGAATGTCTCTTCCCCCTCCCCTCCCCTCCCCTGGATAGGCTCAATGGTCCCTAAAACCACATGCCTGTGTGCAACTGAAAGGGGGTGACACCTGTGATAAAAAAATACTGCTGCCTTCCCCAGCACTTCTAATACAGTGGTACCTCAGGTTACATACACTTCAGGTTACAGACTCCGCTAACCCAGAAATAGTGCTTCAGGTTAAGAACTTTGCTTCAGGATGAGAACAGAAATCGCGGGGCAGCAGCAGGAGGCCCCATTAGCTAAAGTGGTGCTTCAGGTTAAGAACAGTTTCAGGTTAAGAATGGACCTCTGGAACGAATTAAGTACTTAACCCGAGGTATCACTGTATTGGATACTTTTAGCATACTCAGGAATAAAAAGTTTTGTGCTGCTTCTGTAAGGAATGTATATTTTTTGAGCATTTTGCAATTTCTAGTATCTATGCCACCTTTGCACCAAAAAGCACCCCCAACGTGGCTTACAAAGGTTAATGCGCACATACAAAATTCAAGTAAATGAAAGGGGGAAATCCTAACATTGTAAAAGCAAAGGGCAGTTCCCCTAAAAATGTCACAGAGAGAGCAGAAGTAAATCCTTTAGAAGCACCCTTGTAAGATTTCTAAGCAAGAAAGTGAGGCAGAGCAGGTGGCAATGCTTGCCCCGTGATGGTCCACCACAGTGACTCTTCCCTGCAGCAACAGAAAGAGCATGAGAATTTGAGCATCTCATCAACAAATATCATTTCACACATGCATAAAATATGTAAAAACCAAATGCATTTCAGAAGGAGGTTATCTGGCTACATAAAATTGTCACCCTCAGCTCCTAGGTGGGTTGCACTCCCCAATGATGCTGTCTCTACTGGCTTCGTCTTCATTATTTCTTAGATCTCTACCTTGCTGTAGAGAGACAATTACTGAATATTTTGGAACTGGTGTTTTTGGGGAAAACCACCTTCTGATGACTTGCTGCTTACCTGAGACCCTCTGTCTGACAACACACATGACAGATTGCCATGTGTGCTAAACCAGAAGTCAGATTTTCATCCTGTGAACGAAAATAACCCCCAAAAGGCATTCAAAGGAGTCACGCTGCAGCTGACTTATTTCCTTAGCAAGAAAGAGTGCCAAAAGGCAGGATCACGCCCCATTTTGCTGAGCAGACCATTTCCTTTTCTCATATCCTCCTTTCCATGAACTAGGTTGAGCAAGAGCCTTTGATGTTAAAACAGCATATAAAGGAGTCCATGTTGGCTCCAGGAGGGTTGGGAGGGGAAAAAAATCAGTTTGGTTTACATTTTAAGGTGAACCTGCCTAATTTGCACTCCCTGAAGCAACATAGAAACCAAACTACAGCTGTCCTTTGAAACTTGTACTTCTCCAAATTTTGTAATGCATGCAAATTAATTTATTAGAGGAAAGAGTACATAAAAATGCAAGTTAGTGAAAGCAACATATAAAATGTATTGCACTGGGGGAATCTGATTGCAAAAAAATAGTATTTTAGGCAAAATGGCCTACACTATATATGCATACTGGGGGGAAAAACCCTATTGATTTTTTGTGAGTTTTTGTTTTAGACCACCTGACAGACAGTTATGAAGGTGATGTAGAAATATGGCGAACTGAGCTTCAGGTTGGAAAAACAAGAAACCGAGAGAAACTTGATGAGAAGCAGAAATTGACAGATTCTCCCATCCTTATCCAAAACACCCTCGAAACATCCCTATGCATTTCAACAACAATGATAATTTGGAATTGTTGGGTGGTATTCTACTACATTTTAATCAGAGTAGATCCACTGAAATTAATGAACATGTCTTGGTTATGTTTATTAATTTAAATGGTCTACTTTGAATAAAACTTAGTTGAATACTACCCATTGCTTTGAACTTTAGAATTTTGTAATTGGTACAAGGAGGATACAAACATTACCATTTCATAAGTCCTTTCACCATTTTCATGAGGATTTGTTGTTGTTGTTTTGCAAATTTCTGCAGAAATGTAGAGAACCAAATTCTAGACTGGAAAAATGAGATGTTGAGAGAACCAAAGTTGACAGAATCATATGACCCTATTCTCTCATAATACTGGAATTTGCTCATATATCAAAGCTGGATGGTGAGAGATTCAGGTCAGGCAATAAGAGGTTCTTCCCATAACCCATAGTTAAATTATTGAATTTGTTATCACAAGAAGTAGAGGTGACTGCCAATCTGAATAAGTTTAAAAGGGGGCTAGGGCAGTTCTATATGATGCATTTAAAGCACATGACTCTCCTCAAAGTATCATGGGAACTGAAGTCCGTCCCCCCCCCTCCCACATATCCAGCACTCTTAGCAAACCACAACTCCCAGGATTGTTTTGTGGAAGCCATGTGATTTTAATGTATCATGTACATCTGCCCTTAGTCAAATTCATGGAGGATAAGGCTGTTAAGAGTTACTAGCCTTGATGGTATCCAGGATTTGGATGAAACTGAATATCAGCTGCTGGGGGACAAGAGTAGAAGAAGGGTATTGCCCTCATGTTGAGAACAAGCATCCCCAGCCATTGCCCCTGCAGATTGGGACTGATTGGAGTTGTAGTTCAATAACATTTGGAGGGTCGCAGGCTCCCCATCCCAAATGTGCATAAGCTGGACCAATGGTCTGATGCAATATAAAGCAGTTCCATATGTCCTACATAAACAAATTTGCCATCCTCCTTGTGAGATTGAAGAAAGGGCCTTCTCAGTTGCCTTATTTTACTCTTGCCAATAGGCCAAAACACTTCAATTTATTCATTTATTTTTGGAAAAGAATAAAAGCTGTTTCAGAGGGAATTCACAGTATTTTCTCTCAGCTCAGAAACACGAGGGCACAAGCGAATTAATAAATATAAAACTTATTTTAGCCTGCCTCTTCAGTGCTGAAAGTGGCTTTCAACAGAACATAAATAATAATAATAATTTTTAAAATCAACAGAAATATAGATAGAATCAACAGCAGCGGTAATGTAGGGCCACGGTGTCCACTCAGGAGTCACGGAGCTTTTGATGGAAGAGGTATATTCCCCTCAAAGAAGACTAAGCAGCTTCAGAATTCAGCAGAGAGGTTGCCCCACAGCCTTGGAGCAATTTCCATAATTTGAGTTAATCTAGGGGTGTCAGTTTTGATGTTAATTACAGAGCCTGTGTGAGGATTATTCATTCCCCTCAGCATGTGTGGAATACTGAACACACACACACACACACACACACACACACACACACACACTCTCTCTCTCTCTCTCTCTCTCTCTCTCTCTCTCTGTGTGTGTGTGTGTAGGGGGGCTGCTTGTACAATTTATAGCCGCAATGTGCTTTTTTATTATTATTGTAAAAGTATTGTTTTTCTTCCCCCGTTTTCCCAATTTGGAAGTAATTTCAGGCAGAGTGTTTGTGTGACATCGAGCAGTTTGCAGTAATTGGATGGCTGCAGTCTGCCTCCCCTCAAAAATTCTCATAAACGTTCTCAGGAACTCATATAACGAGGTTGGCGTTCGCCTTTCCAGGCCCCGGAATGAAGCTGAGCACTGCTGCTGCTGAAGATTTGCTTTAGTTAAAGGAAAAGAACAAGACAGCTATTAAAACTTATGAGTGGTGGGAGGAACAGCTTTGAGTCTAAGTAACCTCTTAGCAATGTCAGTAGAAGGATCTGATTGACGTTAGTGGGTGCTGAAGTGAGTCTTTAAGAGCGCTATGCATTAGGTTTGAAAGATCTAGACTTCCTGGAACCACAGGTTCGATTCCTGACAAGGTGACTGGGCTCTTCATTGCACTATGGCAGATAAATGGATTTTTCTGCATTTAGTGGTGTGTGTGTGTGTTGGGGAGGGGGGGAGTATTTTGGTGACACCTAAAGCAAATCACTGTTTTTTCATCAAATGGGAAACGGTTCTGTTGGTGTGATCATGGAATTATTCACATGAAAATATATACACATTTCCCTTTCTTTGGATTTGTCTGCAAACAGTGGGGTTTTGTCTAGTTGGCTGGATTCTGCTCAGGTCTACAACTGTTTATTAGACCAAATAATATCAGTTTAGGATCCTCTGGAAATAAAGTTATGCCCTGTGAATTTGCTATGACTTTTGAAGGACTAGACACTAGCTATGAAGTTATCCTGTTCTCTGCTTATCCAAAACATCCCACTGTGTGTGTTTATACTGCATGCAAACCTTTAGTTGGATATATTGAGAAGACAACGGGGAAAGCATGTGTGATCCCTTCCCTGTCAACATGCATGTGGATTTTTGAACAGGACATCTGTAAGGTCTGAACTATCCATGGCATTCATGACTTGATTAATAATCTTTTTAAGAATAACTAAATAAATGAATAAAATCAATCAACTCAATCATTCAAATACATACATTCATACATACATACATATATATATACATACCAGGCGTAGGGAGGGGATTCCCATCAGCATGCAGGATGGGGAAGTTAACTCTTCCCACCCTGGCTGTGATCTCTGTGAATTTCTCTAACCTTGCATGCTAATTAGCATTGGGAAAAGAACTCTCATTGGCACCAATGAGAGCTTTTATTCTAATCTTGTTTTCTGCACATGTAGCAGTGTGTGTATGTGATTTTACAGAGGCTATGGCTGGATAGAGAAGACATACCATCCACGTCCAGCATGCTGTATCTTGATAACAATCACCCCATGCCTGGAATTCATTTGTTTATTTAAACACACACACACAAACCTCAACATGTTATCCTTCACAGTTGGCTATACCCATCATAGCCCAGGCCTTTGTTCCCTGGGGGCGGGGGTCACTGAAATTGGGTCTGCAATCTTGACTAAACTTCTTTAAAGCACTGTACAGAAAGACTGGCTATAAAAGAAGAAAATTCCTGTTAGGACTTTTACCAGACTATACTTGGTTGTTCTAATTCTTCACGTTTGTGCAACATCATGGGTGTGGGCTTATGGGCTTTGGGCTAAGGCAGTAGAGCCAACATAAACCATTGCTTTGGAAATTTCGGTCCCGAATTAAGCAACAGGGACGCAGATCTAACTCATAAACTCAAAGGAGGTCTCCTTACCCTGAACACAGGCACTGTCTTTTCCAAAGACTTGCAGACTTCTTCCACCGCTGTATCCTGGATGGTGGCCTTAGTCATTTCCCTGGCTCACAGCAGAGCAGCAATGTTTCTATACAGTTCAGATCTAGATAGCATTTTAACTGTGCCTAGAGCTTTACAGTGCTAACCTTCGCCTCCAAGGAATCATGTGGAGAAAGTCAATAATAATAGTATTCTGGAGACTTGGAGACAGTATGGGTTGAACAGGGTGGCATGAGGCATCCATAGCTGAGATGAGTGCTGGTTCTGGTGTGTGTGTGTGTGTGTGTGTAGAAAGACAGACAGACAGACAGACAGACAGAGAGATAAAAATAGCAGAGGAGAGCTATTACTGACAATACCTCTGGGAAGTCTTTGTGGTCTTCTCAGAGGCATCTGCTTGGCCTTTGAAGGAAACAGGTTTCTGGACTAAATGGACATTTAGTCTGTAGACCAAGGGTAGCCAATGTGGTGGCTTCCAGATGCTGACAAATTACAACTCCAAATGCCCAAGCCAACAAGGCCAGTGATCAGGGATGAAGGGATTAGTAGTTGAAAAGCATGTGGTGGGCAGCATCATGTTGGCTGCTCCGGTCCAGTCCAGCAAGGATTCTCTTCTAAGCACTTCCCTCTGTTGAGCAAGAGCCAAAGGGAGAATCTCCAGAAGCCTTACTGGTTGCTATCTCTGAGAAGCACAGGTGTCAATGTGGGCAGCAGGCTGGTGGCATAGTTGGCTATGCTGGGTGCTGCTATGGTCCATGTCTTGCAGTGAAGGCTACGCATTGTTCAGTGGTGGCTGCTATCTGCCTCATGAATGTGCCGCATCCTCAGGAGGAATTCTGCAGTCAATTTCATTTTCCTGAAATAGGCAGGTACATTCCCAGAGAAAATACATATCACCTTGGATTTCATTCTTTCTCATTAGGGTTGTCTTACTTCAGTTATGGTTTATTTTTTTTAAAAAAATAATACTGCTGAATATTATAAAAAGTCTCTTAGGTCATTTACATTAAAAACTATTGGTCGATCAAAGTGACTAAGGATGTGATATATGTAAAACAAATTGTCATTAATAAGTAAAATAAAAATATTTTTTTTTAATACACTAAAAAACCAGTGGTTTGTATCCACTGCCAGTCTCACTCTGAGAAGGCCCATTGAATGTGACTAACAGGTTCATTAATTTCAGTGGGTCTACTCTGAGTAAAACTTAGCTGGGTGCAACCTGAACAACCAAAAAAGACAATAAAACTTCCAAAAACCAAGTGAAAACTGAAATGAAGACAAAACACAACTGTATATTACAAATAAAACTGAGCAGTACATGCACAAGAAAGTTAAAAATAAAAATAAAGAGTCAGAGTCCAGGAAAGTTATAAGTATGGGTACATGCCAAGAAAAATATAGGTCAAATTTCTGGATGTTTTCACACTTGCATATTGAGAAATAGCCCTAATAAGATGTATACATGCAGGCTCTTTATACATGCAGCTGAGAACTCTGACTGAACAGAGTTCCCAACTGTGTGGAAGAACCTATAGGAGCATATCTACATTCATACCTACCCTGAATGCATGGGGGTCAGAGCCGTGATTATGATCTCACTTGTACTTCAGTTATTCAGTGAATGTGGTTGAAAGCAAGAGCTATAGTCACCAGCTCTGAACCCTTGGATGCAGCAAAGTTCACACACACATACCCACACAATCTCTTTACTGCACCAAATAATTATGGAACCTATCACAGAATGCAGATATTTAATTGCACTGTTGCACAGGGTCCAGTTTGCATGAGACCTATGTAGCAAATTAGATAACCCAGCCCTAATAGTGTAATATGTATATGGTACACAAGTGATCATGTTGATACCTTTTTTTTATTTAAAGCATTTGGTTGTGGAAATATTGATTAAAAATGTCTGTAAGAGCACCATTGAGGTTTCCCTGCCCCGCCCCCCTCTCTTTCAAGTTCAGTGAGTAACTGTTTGGATTACAGGTTAAAGCCCCACATGATCCGGTGAAATACTTTCTATTGTATTTAGCTTCTCACTGACATCTATGGATTATTCGGCTTTTGAAAGTCTCTTTCCTGAACTTTTGTTTTTGTTTCTCACCTGGAACAGAAAGGTGAAAAGGGACAGCTTTGCCCACAAACAGAAGACTGCTTTTTCTTTCTTCACTGTGTATGTGCGCTTTGCCTCATGACTGTCGGCGGAAAGATTTCAGATTTCTTGCTCAGCTGTTAGTCACAATGCTTTTAGGAGGAGGTGCAGTAGATGGGTCAGAACCAAGGAGGAGCTCCCTTGCAGAGACAAGGTCATGGCTAGGTAGGTCAGTGGGGGTGGGGCTGTACTTTGGTCTGGAGTAGTGGGAGGGGCATGGCTGGAGTTTCTGTGTGGGGGAGATACTACTCAGTAGAGATCTGCACCAGATTTGGCTGAGGCCCAAGCCAAATTGGGTCTATTCAGAGTGACTTGTGTGTCAGATGTGTCAGGTCCAGACAGTTGTGGATCACTACAGATCAGATTGGTTGACCTTGCATGATCAGTGGCTGTCAAAGGGCAGGGCATCTAGCAAGTAGGAGAGGCGGTCGTGGCAGGAAAATGCAATGGAGAAGCAAAACCTATCTTTGATCACTGGCTGTGTCTTCTGGGAGAAGGCAGGCCCAATATTCTGCTAGCCTGGTGCTCTCCTTCCTGCCTGATGCCTCTCTCCACTGGGATCATGAACTCCACTCAATAGCTGTTTAGTGAGGGGTCAGTCTGGAGGGTGTAGGTCCTGTGTGGTGGGTTTCAGCTGGGATGGGGGAAAGGAGATACTAGGTCTTCTTCCCCTGCCCATCTTCCGGCTATATGATTAATCAGGGTTTTATTTTATTTTTTATTTACTTAACATAATTGTTGCAACATATAAGCAAAATATTGCAACTACATACATATATATTTCAAATAAGCCCATATATATGAAAAGAGGAAAAAAGAGGAAAAAAAGAAGAAAAGTTTTTGTCTTATCAAATTAGTCAGCTTTGCTAATTCCAAGTATTTGCATAATTTATTCAACATAATTAGAGTTTTAAAACTGTCCTTAAACATTAGCCTTCCGGGACTGGATCCAGGGTGGGTGGGTGGGTGGTGGTCTCCAGGTTGATCCAAGGTGGGTCAACTTGATGCCCCCTGCTGCTGCACGGGGAAGATGGGGAGGAGATTCTGCATAGTCCCACTACTCAAGCAATTTGACAGGTGGGATTTTTTTCAAATTGCTAGTCAATTGAAGCTCTTGAATTTGGTTTTAAACCATCTAAAATCTCAGCACTGGGCACTGCATTTTTATTGGGCATTGCATTCGCATTATTTAATCATTGCTACTGTACCACTCATTCCTTTTCAAGGGATTTATTTTCTACTGTAGTCTTTTCCATATCATGTCTGGTCCAAATTATCATAATCCACTTCCTATTTTTCTAATTTATTAAATTATTGTTATCTATTTTTCTACATTCCTATCTAGCTTTGTTCCTAACAGAGAAACCAATTTCCCTCAGACATTTCACCTAACTAGGAAGTTACTTGAAAAGTTCTGATGATCAAATCCCAAAGCAACAGTAGCATAAAACCTTTATTAGGACCAACTAAAAAAGTCACCAAGATGTTCTGCCTCTAGCAGTAATTGGAACATATGGGTCCCTTGTAAGACACGGAACGGTAGTAAGAAAAAATGAGGTGATCCTTATGTTAGCAAAACGGAATATTAATTTTTGGCAATGCATTATGTGTAAACTCAACAGAAATTGAATTAGAACATGCTAATCCTCTCCATAGGCAAAATCTCATCCCTAGTTAGCAGAAAGTTATTTTCTTCCAGTTCTAAGATCAGTTCCTAGATTGATAAATTCACTCATATGGGTTATATCCAACGCTTGTCTGAGTAGGCCCTGCTGACATCAATGAGCCCAAGTGAGTAATGCCCATTAACTTAAGTGTGTCTACTCTGCGTAAAACTAGCATTGGCTGCAACCCTATAGTTTATATGATGATCACAAGCTAGAAAGCAGTAACAGTATGGTCTGCGAAACTGAATAGTGACATATCTAATCTATGTACACTGATAAAAGATGGTGGTTATAATGATAATACCATCAAGATAACACACCAATTTCAGCTAGTTAGGACAGCACTGTGTTGGGTTGAAATTTCCACCTAGGATGAACTTGGGTCAACTGGTCCCAGGTTGCTTCCAGGAAGATTTGTCATCAGGTTTAAATCCATCTTTGCCCACATACATCCCAATTCTCCATTCATGGCTGTCCCATCTTATTCTAAGTAATCTCTTTAAACAAGAATGAAAGCTCTGATCCTCTGAGCCCCTTCCATGGGTGAAACTTGTAGCATCAGGCCCTAGACTGGTTTATTTCTGACAGCTATTAATCTTGTTGACACATCATGGCTGACACCAGACATGAGAGTATTTTATTCATCGGCTGGTGAGAAAGTTCTGCCTTTGTGTGTGGGATATGCACGCACACCTCTTAACTGTTTAGCCTGGGCTCAGAATTCATCTCCTCATTAACCAGATATAATTACACCTGACAAACGTACTGAATGCACCAAAGCATGAAAGTAAAAGACAGAAGGATTAAATTGATACAAGTCTGTCACCCTGGCAAATAGAGCCCCAGAAAGCTTAAGAAGGAGCAGGATGAATAATTGTTTAAGGATCATCAGCATGATTACAGGGTGTGATCGCACACACTGCACCTGAAGAGTCAGATAATTATGGAAATTACAAAAGAAAATCAATTGGAGTGCCAAGATATGGGGAAAGTTCTGTATTGGTGCACAGTGCCTGAATTGCTATCTAACAGAGCCACTTTATGTTATTTTAAAGGGTGGCATTTTCGATGCATCACAGGGCAGAATAAAATAACTTTCTTTTTTAAAATAATAAATAAATAAATGAGTTTTTAATACAATACAAAACAGTAAGAGATAACTTTCGTACAATACAATCTGTAGACATTTAAGTGAAGATGAAAAGTGGATGTGAAATTGGCATATTTAAATATGAAACAATGTCAAAGGTAGTTCATTGCCATTTTACATCACAAGAAATGGGTGCCCTTAAATCTATTGAAATAAATGGGCTTAAGGACTCCTAACTCTGTACCAGATCATAGAACCATAGTCTTGTAGAGCTGGAAGGGACCACAAGGATCATCTAATCCAACCCCTCTTTTTACATTTACACCCCACCTTTCTTCCAAGAGCCTCAAGGTTGCGTATGCAATTTCCTCCCCATTCCCCATTTTTATCCTCACAACAATCCTTGAGTTAGATTAGGCGGAGAGTGAGTGGCTGACCCAAAGGCACCCAGTGAGCTTCACAACTGAGCGGGCATTTGAACCCTGCTCTCTCTATCTAAGACTGACACTCTAACCATTACACCACGCTGTGGTAGGCCTATTAGAACAAATGAACTGGCAGATAAAGCAGCATGGAGGCGAGAGTTGCAGAGTGGTTTTCAAAAAACAAGGTAATGTAAAAACAGGATAAACAGAAACATGAAAATAATCAACATAAGTTGAATAATTAACAACCTCATAAAAATGATTTGACACATTGGTCTGTATAGGCTTGACAAAAAGGTGGGTTTTTTAAATCTGGCATCGAAATGAACATAAGATTGTGATGAAACTCACTTCAGCAGGAAGGTCGCTCCAGAGACGTGGAGACACCATCAAAAATGCTTTCTATGAGTCCCAGAGCAATGCCCTTCATTTACCGCAAGGGCAGGTTGGTACAGGAAAAGGCTTTCTCTCAGATATTTGGGCTCCAGGGCATTCAGGGTTTTAAATGTCAACATAAACACATTGAAGTGATCCCAGAAGCAGTGGCGTAGCGTGGGTTGTCAGCACCCAGGGAAAGGCAAGTAATTTGCGCCCCCTCCAGGTAGGGGCAGAGAGCTGCGAGTGCGAGCGCGCGCCCCCCCGATGTTGCGCCCGGCCCCCCCTGCACCCCCACGCTACGCCACTGCCCAGAAGATACGTGGCGATCATACTGTTGAGGCAATCAGCTGTTTGAGAATAAAAGTTACATGGCAGCTTCACTATGTTATGGTAAATGTCTGACATTTGGCAAATGCTGACAATCAGTAATCCACAGACCTGTTTCAGAGAAGTCTGGATTGCCAGAAAATTCAAATATTTTTGGTAGTGCTAGTGCTAACTGTCAACATTCATTGTAATTTTGGAACTGTCTAGCATTATAACATGGAGCTCAGAGCTGAATTTTTAGCCAGATTAAGAAAACTGTGAGTTAATTTAGACTGCCAAAAATGCCAGTCCCTTGTCAACTCCCTTCTCCCTCATTCATATCATTTAACTTAACTCTGTGTTCTGTGTTCTGATGTCCTGACATTCTTCATTTTGCTAGAACACTGCTGCTGTCAATGGTGCAGAAATGTGGAGAAGTATAACATTAGGACATTACAGAAGGTGAAGGAGGATGAGAAATGTGCCCACCATTTTCCATTTAATTTGACTTTGAGAAGCAATGATATAACCCAGGCTCCCCATCTTCATACCTAAACCGGGATTAGAACCTATAATTTCCACTTTGAAGCTTGACATACTAGTCATTCTGCTCCATGGGCTCCCATTGCAACATCTAAATCTGAATTTACCCACTAACTACTCAAATATATTTTGGGATCATTCAGCTTTCCTTAGACCGTGGGTATCCATTGTGGTGCTCTCCAAATGTTATGGGACTACAACTCCCATCAGCCCCAGCAACCTTAACAAATGGGCCAGGATTATGGGACTTGTAGTCCAAAAACATCTGGAGAGCACCATCTTGGCTGTCTCTGCATTAGGCTAGAAAATCACGCAGGGACACTCAAATACTGTCTTTTTAGATCACTTGACTGTCAACCAGCAAATATAGCCTTTGTTGTCTCTTGTTTAGATGGTGCATTTCTTACAAAGGAAGTTGAGATGCTGACGCTTGGAACTCTGGCAAAATGTGGAACCTCTTCTTGCAAGTATTGCTTCTCTAATTTCTTTTAGTTTATCTCTAAAAAACTGACATACCAATTCATTGATTTATCTGGATCTTATTGAACAGGCACCGAAGGCACCAACATCCATATTTCCAATATGATAGGGACAGTTGTAGTTTTGGAATTCTCTGAATTAAACACTTAATATGGACACACTGCTAAGCCAACAATTATTTCTTTCATGTATTGCCCAAAATGGATGTTCCTTATGTGCTGCCTTGACTTTTCTTTTGTCTTCAGGTTAAACAGATAGCAAAAGCCTACTGTTGTTTAAACATGGTACTTCTTTATAATTCTGAAGAGCAGAATGATAATATGTTGTACAAGCCTTTGACCTGAATGGAGGGACCTACAGAGAAAGGATGCATTTGCTATCAGATAGGTCAGAGCTGCACAGCTTGCCTGAAGAAGTTGTGACTGTGCACAGTCTCCTCCAGGAAAAAAAAGTGCCCCTATGACAGCATAATAGCATTTTGTACTTAAAACTTCATTTTGTCCAACTATTAGCCTCTAATAGGGTTCTTTTCATTTTCATTCTTAGATGGCTTCTTGATCTCCTGGTTCCAAAAGCCAGTTTCTTCTTTATAAGTTATCAATCTTTTTCAGTTATCAGCTGTGCACAGACTCAGTGGTGTAGTGTTGGTTGCCAGTGCCCAGGGTAGGCGTGCACACATGTGCCAGGTGGATATGGGGGTGCACATGCTTGAGGTGTAGGGCACCAGCCCAACCCTTGCTCTGACACTGCCAGAGGAACCCCAACCTCACCAGAGCAAAGCATGGCTGCACTGAGCCACTTGTCCACCCATGGATGGGGGAGCCTGGCCAGCTGTCATGGCCCTTGGCGGGCGAAGAGGAGCCCCGGGTCAGGCTGGGCTGGGGTCACCTGTGTAGGGGCACCTAGTTCACTCCCCCTCAAAAATTGTATGCCCAATGCCATGGCCCCTCTGGCACCCCCTCACTACACCTCTGCACAGACTGAATGTGCATGAGATGTGTTCTTTTTTATTTTGGGTGGGGAAAGGAATCAGGTGGAACCGGAGCAAATGGATGGTGGCTTCAGAATTAATGATAGGCAGAGCCAAGTAATTATGGTTTTGTTCCCATCATCCTACCTGCAAAGGTGGCAATGAGGAGGCAGCAACAGTAGCAGCATAAAACTATTAAATCCAGAGTCTAAAACTGGACTTAAACCTAACTGCACATGAACGAAAGCATTTTTTAAAAAATGGTGATGGCAAAACTTATCTGGATTGCTTTTCCTTCTACTGGTCCATGGAAGGAAAATTTAGTGAGCCAACTCATATCACTCCAAAGGCTGTGAATATTCGCCATTTTTACCATTGGGGCGGTTTTCTTAAAAACTCATTACGGTGGTACCTCGGGTTACAGACGCTTCAGGTTACAGACTCCGCTAACCCAGAAATAGTACCTCGGGTTAAGAACTTTGCTTCAGGATGAGAACAGAAATTGCACGGCAGCAGGGCGGTGGCAGCGGGAGGCCCCATTAGCTAAAGTGGTGTTTCAGGTTAAGAACAGTTTCAGGTTAAGAACGGACCTCCAGAACAAATTAAGTTCTTAACCTGAGGTACCACTGTAAAGGCCTCCTAAAGTGAAAATGAGGCTCTTCTCAGATCCTTTGCAAAACCCAAGTACATCAAAGGAAGGGCATAAGCATGAGTGTATTAATCACATTCATCTATCATTATAATGCAACTTATATTGCAACAAAGCAAGCTTAATGCTTCCCTTCAACATCAAAGATGTATTTCAATCTCAAACTATATCAATGCAAAACCAGTTGGGGGGGGGAGAAGCAAAATGGTATGACTAATATTATCTGTGCTGCTGCACATAAGCACCCACACCAGCACAATTTCATCATAGAATAAACCATTTGTATTTCTCATAAAACTATATATAGACAAAGTAATACAACTAAAAAACTGTGTCAGAGGGTGTGCCAAAGACTCTTCAGAAAAAGTGGGCATTAAGGGGGGATTTGGTAGACTAGAAAAAGCGGTGGCACCATGAAGATGCTCTTGAAATCACTTCCAAGCATAAGAAGCAAGAAGGGTGGAAAGGGAGACCTTTAGGCATACAGTTTGAGAGTGTAGGAGTTGGAGGAGTGAAGATCACAGAGTTGTGAATGAATAAGCAGATAAAGCCATGGATGGCACTGGGCCCAGGCGTGAACTGGATGGGTGCTGGATTAATGATTTATGGAGGTGCATTGTGTAAGAACATAAAACAGTCCTACTGGATTAGGCCAAAGTCTCATCCATTCTCATCATCAGAGACCTATGGGAAGCCTGCAAGCAGGACATGAGTGCCATAGTGCTCTCCCCACTTGTGATTCTATGAGAAGGTGCAGAAGACTGCAAAGGCTGGCTCTACTCCCACTGGTGATTCAAACAGTGGTCATCATTTGCCATCTCCGGTATAGGCTCAGAGAGCGCAAGTGGAACAGAAAACTGGAACATATTTATGTACCTGAGACTGATTTTAAAAGGAAATCTAAGAGAACCAAACTTTATATCATAGAAGCTCAGTGTTGAACAGATTGGCAAGCCAGCTCTAGTTCCACATTTGCAACATGAGAATAAGGAATGTATGCATTCTCTGTTAGTTGCAACATTAAAGTTGCTATGAGCAAGAAAGCTTGGGCACCCTGAGCATATCACTGGACTGGGCTGATGACATGCAAGATTGGTGTTACCCAACCTTATCCATAATTCTCTATATTTTCCTTCTCTCCATACCAAGGTAGGAATTCTCAAGCACTATCAGTGGACTGTGCATTTCAGAGGAATAGCTATTAGGACTGTCACTTGTAAATCTGATCAAAGTAAAAGAGAGTTGATTTCTTTTCAGGCACAGGGAAGGAATATATCCCTGAGGTAACTCCATTATTTCAACTGATAGGGCAAATTTGTCTTAGTGTTTTTAACTAAAGTCACTTTGTCTCCAGTTCCCAGAATGCTTGTGTATTTGACGTATCAGGACATTCTTAGCTTTTTCCCAGTTGGTTTTTCCAATGTCAGATCAATGGACTGAGAGTTTTTGATGTAAAAGAGAATTGATTTATGATTTTCAAAAGGCTGCACAGGTTCAGCTGTTTATTGCGACTGTATCCTAAACAATTTAAAGATACTACCAAGAGAGTGATTCTCTGCCTGCTTACAGTGAAGCCATCCCACTTAATTTGATGAGTTGACACCAGAAGTAGTTCACTGGGTAGGAGGGATTTGCTATGCTAGCTTCTTGGCAGCTGGGTCTCTGTTACTGACCAGAAGTGAGATGAGGAGGGGTGAGGTGGCAGGGAGGATGTCACAGTGTGAACTGGTAGAAGCACCAGATTGGCTCTGCCATTGTGTTTGCACCATGCCAACATCCCCACCACCTCACTCTTCTCCCTCCCAGCAAGCAACAGAAAGCTAGCATGGTGGTTCTGCCACACCCAGGGAGCTACTTCTGGCTGACACCACTGTACCTGGATAGTGAGTATGCTGGGGATTCTGTCATCCCATGCAAGACATGTAGTAGGCCTACATTTATTATATATTAACTTCTTATTTTAAAAAAAGTCCAATTGAGATATTTTCTTAGAAGAAAATTTATCAAACTTATTTTCTGAAGCTCAATTATTTGGCTCTTGAAAAAGAAAATTAGATAATGGTTTTGTCAGTGGTCTTGTTATTCTCTCCATTTGAAGAATGCCCTCCCTAGTGAAACTTATTTGTCTTTCTCATTAACAGTCAGTAGAAATGGGGGGAGGGAATCCAGTTCACCCATGCATTTGATGGTTGAAAGGTGAAGATATATGACTGTTTTTATATGAATTTGGATGTTCTTTAGGATGAATGGTGGGATAGAAAATTCAAAGATGTTGAGGATAATAACAGTAACAGTATATAAAATATTATCTCCATCATCTTAAGGTAAAAGCTCTGCTGCCTATGCTTTTTGGATTGCCCCTTTCCCACATTCGTGTACTGCGACAGAAGACCCTACTTAAAAAAATAAATGAAATAATGATCATGTTGGGGTCAACAAAGGCCCATTGGCCACATGCCCAAGGGAAGAGTCGGGGCAGGGGAAACTGCAGAGCTGGTGGGTGGAGCACAGAGGAGGAAGCAGAAAAGGAAGAAGAGGAAGCAGGTCAGACAAGTAAAGGGCCAGGTGCTTTCCCATCCTCTCCTGCACTACTGTCTCCCAGAACCAGGAGGGGACTGAAAGAGGGATGAGCTGAGGAATTTCTATGCAGGCATAGTCTTTGGCTGCATGTGCAGTCCATTGGGGGAAGGTACATAAACTGGTGAAGGGAGAGTGGTCTCCTATTGCTGCAACTGTTCCATAGAATGCAGACCTGGGAATAGCTATTTAGATGCTAGATTGCTGTGTGTAGGTAGCCAAAGCTTTAGAAGTGTCTGTAAGTGTTACCTTTGACAATAAAGAGTTAAGTATCTGAGGTATGCATTCCTTTGGCTGGGGAGCACCCTTGACAGCGGTCCAGTTCTGCTCCTATCTGCACAGGGATGTCCTAACTTCTTTTGTCTGTGCTCTGGTAACCTCTAGGTTAGATTACTGCAATGCATTATACATGCCTTTGAAGATGGTTCAGAACTTTCAGCTGGTACAGAAAGGGCTTGATTAGTGGTTGGAGAGATTAAATATAGAAGGTTCTTTTCCTGAATCATCACAGGTCCACAACCTCATGTGGTTTGTGACTTTTGAAATCTCACATTCTACTGGAACCAATGGAGTTCTGTTTTTTATGCAATACTGCTGTAAAAAATTCACTGGCAACTCCACCTTTTGGAGTCGAATTGTATGTGTCTATGGCAGGGATAAGTAACTATTTGTTCTATGTAAAAAAAGATGATCTTTAAATCAGTGTGATTGACATGCTGGAAGGAAGCATAACTGATGCCATTTTAGAATGATTCACTTAGCTTTGCTCTTGAAAGCACACCCTAATAGTATTTATATAAGAGACACTGACTAAAACAATATTGACACCTGCCAATCATGACGATGATGAGTCATTTTGCATGGCTCGGGCTTTCCCTTACTTAGGTACTGCAAGTTCATTTGTAATCTATTTAGTGTAGAGCACATAATACTTTTCCTGCTTGTTACAGATATAATCTTGCTTGGCTTATTTGATTTGGGTCACATCCACGACATCTGCTTTCATGCAAAGACACCATCCATGCTGAGTATGTAACTGGCACCCTGTGCGGCTATTCACATCTTATTCCCTTAATGAAAGAGACACTGGAGACTGTTCCATGGCAGAAACCACAGAAAATGGCTTAACATTGTCAATATGCAGGAGAATCTACAGAGTAAACAGAGCGCTGTCAGCTGTTTCAGAGAGCAGCAAAGCTAAATATACCAGAAAAGAGGGTTCCCCCCCCGCAACAAAACAAAACAAAATTCTAGCTTCCCGGGGAATTCCTGGCAGACACGTGAAAGGTCTTCCAGAGCAGCGATTAAAGCAAAGCAGAAAATATTCCCCTTGCCAACTCTCACTTGCTAAACATGCTTCTCGGCTAATGTTTTTCATTGATTTACAGAGCTCTTCCAGACTCTTTTTTGTTGTAACAATTTATGAGCCTTGGAAGAGAAGCTATGGGCTTTGCCAGATTTTCTACACCAGAGTGGACAAGTTCAGTAGCCAGCGAGCCTAATTGAGTCGTTGTTTAAATTTTGTTTTGGCTCCTAGTGCATTTCTCCTTCTGATCTTGCTTTAGCATCCACGGCTCGTCTACTCACAACTGCCGATGCAAAGAATTTCTCCCTTGTTGCTGATGCCATCTGGAACTGCCATTCTATATTTACCCAGCCCGTCAATTATTCTGATTAAAAAGCTCAAAATAACAGAATTTCTAAAAAACAACAACAACACTCAGTCAGAAGCACAAGTGCTCTCCTCACTTGTTCAAAGTGTTCTTTGAGCTTTGAGCCTGAAAATCTTCAACCCTCCTCTCTGTTGACCATACCCATATTCACTCCTCCTTTGCGTCTTGTCTCAAGTCTTCACCAAAACTTTTGCTAAACCATCTTAAACAGGTATGGGGCAGTGGTGGACCTTGGCATCTCAGATTTCAGTGGCACCCTATGCGATGCCAAAATCCAGTGGCCTCCTGCCTCTCGCCTTCCATTGGATGTCATAGTTATGGCACCTGCTATATCACCACAGAAGCTCCATGCCTGGTATGACCAAACCGGTCACACTCTCTTATATCTTCCTTTGCATGGATAACCTGTGTCTTTTCAGATGTTATGGGACTATAAGTCCCATCATTTCTGCCCATTGGCCATTCTGTTTTAGACTGATGGGATCTGGAGTCCAATAATATTTGGAGGGCTGCAGGTTCCACCTCCCTGACATTATGTTCTCTTATCTGCACATCTGCTGCCAATGCCAATGGGCACTCAATGTCTGATCCCTCCATTACTCATCTCTTTTAAGATCCTGCTCTATGCCTTTCCCTACATGCACTTTACTTCATATTTAATGGCTTGATATTGACTTTATGTGTGAATCAATTCCATTGAAAACTAGCTTTCATTGTGATGCAAAAGCTGTACCTGTGGTTTGTTCCTGTGATGGCTTTTGAAAGTCACTCCTGGGCACTGCAGCGATGATCTTTCATGCATTAACCAGCCTGAAATAATTTTGTAATAATTTCCCTCTGTGCATGGATTATGACACGTCCATTAAAGGAAGGACTGTGACTCAGAGGTAGAACATCTATTTTGCATGCAAAAGTCTCCGGGTTCAATTCCCTGCATCTTCAGGTGGGTCTGGAACCCTGGAGAATCACTGCCAGTTACTGAAGAGTAGACAATACTGATGGATGAATGCTATGACTCAGTATAAGTCAACTTCCTATGATCTGTACTGTACCTGTAATGTACCTGTTGATACAAAATGTTAAGTGGCAGTGGTGGCGGCAGTGGCAACTTCATTCTGTGGAGAACACAATATTTCTCTTTTTTGTGCTTAATTATGACACACAATTTCTTGAAAATCAAGGCCTCCTCTGCCCCCTGACTTTTTTGGACATGGCGGCACCCAGCCCTCTCTCCAGAAACATTGGGTGCCCCCCAAGGTGCTCAGCCCCCAGAAGGTGGCACCCCTGAGAATTGAAGATGCTTGCACGAAGCCAAGTGAGAAGTGAAGAAAATGAACACAAGCATCCAACAGAGTAGTGCAACAATTCAGCAAAACATTTGTCGTAGCTCAAGGAAGCTCTCTCTTTTTCCACTTGAAAACTGTATTTTTCCAATGGAAAATTTTCACTGAAAACAACCTCAATTTTTTTTGGGGGGGGGGAGGCAGGACTGCTTTCTCCCACAAAGTTATATTTTTCCACAGCGGTTTTCTGCAGTATTTTCTTACCTGCTCTGCCTTCTTCAGATCTGGTGTTCAAAGTGGATCTGTGTTTTGCAAAGCTTAGATTCACTGGTTAAATCATTTCACTGTCAATACTGACGAAGAGATAGCAAATATTTGGTCTACCTTTTTCAGGTGAAGGAGAATCTGTTTCCATGAACAGATAATTCATCCCCTATTGGATCTGTGCCAGCATAAAAGCACAAGCTGTAGGCTAGGTTACAAATTCTGATCCCTTTCTCTGATGGCCTTTCAAAAGACCTTCCTGTTTAAACTGGCCTTTGGCCCCATATATTGATTATTTGGCTGCAATTGGCTGGTTATAGTTTTAATTAGTGAGTGGTTTCACCTACTTTTTTCACTTTTGGGGTAAGTTTTTGATATATGTGTCTGCATTGCATTCCACTTTATGTGTTATTGCTAGCCATCTTGGGCACGTAGTTCAGAAAGGTGGGATAGAAATGCAGGTAACGAATACATGACTAAATAATACAGTAAGAAGTGATCTGAATTCATTTCTTTATTGGGCCATCCTACTTGAGAAAGAAGGTACATAGCAGACAGCTTGGGCATAGTTCATGTCTTTTCAGATTAAAAAAAGAAGACATAAAATGTGATTTGAGTATTTTAGGGTACTCTCAGAGGTAGGTGACTGGCTACAGCCCAGGTCAAATTGACACAGGCTATAATCCAACCTGGTGGGTGCAGGAGAACTGTGTACATAGAGGGCGTCATTCTGACATTTTCTCCATAGTCAAGGTTAACTAGGTCCATTCAGGACTTGGCCGCAGCGCACTGTGGCCATAAACGGTGCATTGAGGTTTGTCCGGTTTTAAGGGGACAGCACGGCTCAGGACTCACCTAATTTTTTCTCCCCTCTCTCTTACTCTTTTCTTCCCCTTCCAAACATGGATGGAAGTGGCCAGTTTGGCCAGAGGCACTATTCAACTGACTTCACATGCCAAGAACTTCTCTTTTGGGGTGAATAACAGGTTGGAAGGGTGTTATTAATGGACATCTTGTGTGGATGAAAGGGTTTCGAACACTCTCAACGTATTATACCCCCCAGAGGCTATTGGGGTGTATTTTTGTGTGAGTGTTATGCAGAGGAAAGTAGGATAAATTTGATTATGTTTGCATTAAAAGGCGAACATACTTAATTCTAACATTCGGGGGGGGGGTGAACCAAAATCAAGGCATCCTTTAAAAATTTGCACTCATTTGAATTTTGCAATGCAGTTCTCCTGCCAACTAATGCATACGGAAATGTGTGCATAGACAATGCATACATCTGTGAAACGATACACAAAATTACATTATATTAGGGGTAATTGCTTTGCAAAAAATGTGCGTATTAGGGGAAATTGCATATAAAAATGAGTATACTAGAAAAAAATGCCACAAAATTGCTCACAGACTTTTTAAAAATTCATGAACTGATGTGGAAATGGGGAGAACTGAACTTAAAGTTGGAACAATGAGCAACAGAAACAGCAGCTGACATATTCACCCTTCCCTAGTTGTGCAAGATGCTATGCCAGAAGTAAAGTCTCACACACTATCTAGCACCTTGTGTGGCACCATTTATGGCCTGGAAGCCAAGCTGTGTGGACCGGAAGCCCCAGAAGGCTCTGTGGTAATCCTGAAGCCTCTGGGCATCCTCTCATTTATCACCGGGAAAGATGGGAGGTGACTTTGCTGCTTGTAATCTGTCATAGAATCTATACAACCCAGAACATTTTGTACCCTCAACTGCATGGCGGTGCATTCAATGAAGGAAGCAAACCATTCCTGATGACTCAAGCAAATGGGCAGACACACATTCTGCCTACAGATAACTACAATAAATCAAATGAAACCAACAGGGTTATTAACCAATCTGCCTGGGAAACCATCCCATTTCCACCTTGATAGGCCTTGTTCAAGTGCATTCATGAACATTATGAAATTATACTGTGAAGTATAATGTGAAATGTCATGCGGTCCCTATAAAGCAGGGATGGGGAACAGGGGTAGTGGGCTGGATCCTGAGCTCACCCACCCTAGTGAGCCAGGTGCCCCAACTCTAAGTATGTCTGCCACTCTGCCAAAAGCATAGGCCAGATGCACTCAGGAGTTCCCAACTGAGAACCCTGCACTGCAACTGATAGCTGTAGTGCTTACTGCAAGTGCCAGTCAGCTGAATGGTGCCTGCAGCAAGCCTCACTTCTCAAGGAACAGTTGGGAGTGCACTTAAAGTTAGTTGTTCCCTTGCAGCCGCAGCTTTACCTGCCCCAAAGCTGATGTCTCTCATGAAGACATCAAGTGGAAGTGATTTAGGTGAAATGGCCTCTGGGATAAAATAGGAAAACATGCAGCTGTATGACCATTGGTCCATCTATCTTAGTATTGTCTACATAGACTGGCACCAACGATTCAGGGTTCAGGAAGGTGTCTCTCACAGCTAGTACATGGAGATGCCAGGATTTGAACCTTGTGGTACCAATGTATTGCAGTTCTTCTGCTACTGAGCTACAGCACCGTTCAGCCACAGGGAGACTCCAGCAGAGTCATGTGCTGCTTTTTCCTTTACAGGGTGTGAGAAACTCATCCATCCTCTGGAGAGGACATATGATAGCCATCTTCAAATATCTAAAGAGCTGTCACATGGAAGATGGAGCAAGCTTGTTTCCTCTTGCTCCATAGGGTAGGACCTGAACCGATAGCTTCAAGTTACAAGGAAATTCCAACTAAACATCAGGAAGAGCTTTCTGGTGGTAAGAGCTGCTCAACGGTGGAACAGACTCCCTCGGAAGGTGGTGGACTCTCTTTTATTGGAAGTTTCAAAGCAGAGATTGGGTGACCATCTGTCAAAGATGCCTTAGCTAAGATTCTTGCATTGCAGGGAGGGTTGGATGAGATCACCCTTGGGGTCCCTTCAAAGGGGCATACCTAGCAGATGGCTAGATTAGCCTCTGCCAAGCGTGCAGGCCCAGGGGGTCACAAAAAGCACGCCTCTCTGCTTTGGCTGAGAGTGGCTAGGAAGCAGAGCAGAGGGCGGGGGGAGGGCAGGGAGGGAGGCAGAAAAGGAGACAGTTGGACTGATGGGGGAGGAGGAGGAGGGAAGGAGAGAAGGAGAAGCAGCAGAGCAGGCCTAACCCTGATGGCCATGGAGAAATGGCTCAGGACCACAATACCTCAAGGACCACCTCTCTCCATATGAACCTACCCAAAGCCTGAGATCATCCTCTGAAGCCCTCTTTTCTGTGCCTCCTCCACAAGAGGTCCACAATGATAACCTTTTCTGCAGTGGCTCCACATTTGTGGAATGCTGTTTCCAGGGAGATTCAAGTGGAGCCTTCATTAAACACCTTGAGGCTCCAAGTGAAAATTTTCCTTTCAACAATGCCTGATGCCCTTTTAAATGTGCTGCAGGAGTGGGGGGGGGGATTATGGGTTTGTTGTTTTTTCTTATTTTTCTCATGTATTTTGTGGTTTGTATATTGTAATTGTATGTTGTGAACCACCCTGAGATCTACAGATGAAGATCTACGGTATACAAATTTAACAAACAAGAAGAAGAAGAAGAAGTCGTTGTCGAAGTCGTCACTGGTGGAGGATGAAAGGCAACGAAAAGCAGACTTTTTGAGTTTCTGGTCCAGGTCTTTCCCGGCTTTAGAGACGCCAATATGATGATACATCTCTGCCAATGGCACAAGGGGTGGGGGTGGGAGGCATCAATACAGCTCCTTGCCTGGGGAGCCTAGGTACACCTCTCTCTATAATTCTATGATTCTATCACTTTGAATTCTCTCTTTGATGGGTAAAATGATACCCATAAAAGAGAGGGGTCCCTTCAAAGTAGGAAGGGCATGTAACTGTTCTGGTTCCACATTTCACCTTGCAGGCACCTCTTTTTGAGTCTCGGGGAGTGGTGATTCAAGATGTTTGGAGAGTGGTGAAAAAAGAGGTCCTTCTCCGTGGTGGCCCCTAGTTTAGAATGCTTTCCCCAAAGAGACAAGCTGAAGACTTACTCTCTCTCTCTCTCTCTCTCTTTCTCTCTCTCTCTCTAAGACATCTGATTGTTTGTATCTCAACACTGATGATGCAGACTATGCTTGCTGATTAATTTAATGGTGATCATACATTGCTGAGTGGATATGGGTTTTATATTACTGTATTGAGAAGATATAAGGACCTACTTGAAAATAAAACCCCAAGGTGGTTGTCACCGATGGAAGCGAAGGCTCAGAAAAAGCTCAATATGGAGGCCAAATGGCCGAAATATTGGGAAATTTTGGAACAAGAGGGAGACAGATTGAAATTGCAGAGTTTTGAAAAACTAAAAATAAAGTGCGAGATTGGCTTCATTATTATCAGATAATGGAGGCATATAATTTGGACAAGAAAATTGGCTTCCAGGTGGAAAAATCAAAATTGGAAACAGAACTGTTAGAACCCAAAACCAAGATTTTGTCAAAGATGTATAACTTGCTGTTGAAATGGAATACTCAGGATGAAACGGTGAAATCTGTTATGATTAAATGGGCACAAGATGTTGGACATAACATAATGATGGCTGACTGGGAACAGTTATGGACCACAGGTATGAAGTTTACGGCATGTAATGCCTTAAGAGAGAATATTATGAAAATGATATACAGGTGGTACATGACACCAGTCAAGCTTGCAAAAATCTATCATTTGCCCGATAATAAATGTTGGAAATGTAAAGAAACTGAAGGTACATTCTTTCACCTTTGGTGGACGTGCCCAAGGATTAAGGCTTTCTGGGAGATGATCTATAATGAAATGAAAAAGGTACTTAAATATACCTTTCTGAAGAAACCAGAGGCCTTTCTCCTGGGCATGGTTGGCCAATTGGTGTTAAAGAAGGATAGAACTTTCTTTATGTATGCCACAACAGCAGCAAGAATACTTATCGCAAAACACTGGAAGACACAAGATTTACCCACGCTGGAAGAATGGCAGATGAAGGTGATGGACTATATGGAACTGGCGGAAATGACTGGCAGAATCCGAGACCAGGGAGAAGAGTCGGTGGAAGAAGATTGGAAGAAATTTAAAAACTATTTACAGAAACACTGCAAAATTAATGAATGTTAGAATGATGTTGGATTGAAGTTAAGTGGTTTTTAGTAGCAATGTTATAAAGGAATATGTAAAAATGGATTGTTAATAGGTGATAATTTAAAGTTATAATATATTAAGATGGAAGATTAAGATAAAACCAAAGAGGGAAAGGAATTGCTGAATTAACTAATTGAACTGGAATACAAAAAAGGGAGGTGTGAGGAGGTTGGGGAAACAAGCAAATGAAAGATAAGATATGGAAAGACTGATTTGTTTTTAACTGTTTTTACTTTGTATTTTTTTTTGTTTTTTTTGTTTTTTTAACTTTTTTCTCTTATTTTTGTAATATATCGAAACTTTAATAAATATCTTTAAAAAAATATATATTACTGTATTGAGATTATTGCTTGATTAATTGTAGTGTTTTTAGACAGCATTTATTTATTTTTTTTAAAAAAATATTATGCAATTGTGATATTTCTTTAATGGTCAAGTTACCTTGAGACGTTTTGTAAAATTAAGTGAGGGGTGTCGTGGGCAAGTGGGTGGAGGAATATGACCACACACAAACAAACTTGTGTGCGTGTTTGGAAGAAAGAGTGAAACACAGAAAACTTGGGACTTGGAACTATGAAAGCACAGCACATTTATCCTTGGCCATGCAAAGTAATCAAAAGACAAAAGGATTCCCCATTTGCCTGCCATTTTAATTGCTTTTAATTATCTACTGCTGTTTTTCCCCTTTATTGAAATATCAATGCAAAGCTATGTTACTCAATACACCCTAATGCCCTTTAAAATCATTAACATATCATGAAATGGATGGCAGACACCTGCTATACTACTAAAAATACAGAGGGGGGAGAGCTCTTTATTAATGGAAAAACCAATCATACCAAAATTGAATTATTTTAACAGCTCTGTTCCTATCGTGGGAACTCATTTAAAGCAGACTTGGACAGCATAAAATGTAATGAGAGCCGACTCTAATAGGGAAGATGTTACTATAGCATTTAGGGGAAATGTAAGCTGATTCCATTATCTGTGTGGAGCAAAACCTCTGACATTTCAGCCACTACTGGGCTATTTCAAGACTTTCCTATGACATAGTAAGAGAAAGATCAGAACAGACTGACTTCTCTGATCCACAACCCAAACGCCAAATGCTACCAACAACAACAACAAATTTATTAAATTTGTGAGGTCCATGCCTTTACACAAAATACCATAAAACATTATTAAAAGATAAACCAAAAAGATTATAAAAGTAAGCTAAAATTCATGCCATGTTGTCCCAGCAAGGAAACTACCCAAAAACCCCACCATTCAAGGAAGAAGGTACAGCAACAGGTTAGGAGAGCAATGGGAGGGACCTCACCGTTTCATCCAGGAACCATACCCTAGTTTTCATAGCCTTCACCACAAAGACCGCTACCACGTGAGAAATCCGTGGATCAGCGTCTACCAGTAAAAACTTTACTTGGTCCTCAGAGTTGACTATTGATTTAGGAATAGTTTGTAACATCGCATCCCTGAAGGCCGAATAGATGGGACAATACAACATGTAATGTATGAGATCCTCTTTGGCCAAACGCCAAATGAGGTTACCTAGAGACAGCATAATGAATTATGCAGTGCGGTGAACATGGCAATCATAAGTCCAAAACAAATGAGGAGTCCGTTGGGACAATAGACTCAGTCTTTCAGACCTTCAAATATATGTTGCTTTAATGACAAACTGGGGCTAACGCTTAAAGTTGCATTGCATTACTCTTATAAGTTCCTCACTAGATCAGACCAGCAGCCTATCAAGTCCAGCAACTTTTTCCACACAGGGCCAACCAGCTGCCCATGGGAAGGCTTAAAGCAGGACAGCAGGGCAATAGTCCACTCCTGCTCTATAAGGCTTGTGAACCATTGATTTGTACTTGCCAAGTGTATTCATTCTGAACTGAAATTTGGGATGTCAGAGAATGCTCCAGTCCTTGAATTTTTCAGGTGGGAAATGCTGCTCTCTATGACTCTGAAGCGCTGCTACCAGGCAGTATGGATGAGAGAGCTGGGCATGTTTAGCCTGGAGAAGAGGAGGTTAAGAGGTGATATGATAGCCATGTTCAAATATATAAAAGGATGTCACATAGAGGAGGGAGAAAGATTGTTTCCAGAGAAGCGGACACGGAGCAATGGATCCAAACTACAAGAAAGAAGATTCCACCTAAACATTAGGAAGAACTTCCTGACACTAAGAGCTGTTCAACAGTGGAATTTGCTGCCAAGGCGTGTGGTGGAGTCTCCTTCTTTGGAGGTCTTTAAGCAGAGGCTTGACAACCATATGTCAGGAGTGCTCTGATGGTGTTTCCTGCTTGGCAGGGGGTTGGACTCGATGGCCCTTGTGGTCTCTTCCAACTCTATGATTCTATGATTCTATGATTCTATGATTCTATGATTCTATGATTCTATGATTCTATGATAATGGTTTAGATATACCAGTGGTCGGATCCAGTATAAGCAGCTTCTCAGCAGTGGTCAGCAGGGCAGGGCAGGGTGGGGTTGTGCTGCTTACCTGCCGAGCCAACTTTGGGGTTGCTGCTGGTGAGCTTGAAGGAGACAGAGAGGAGTGAGATATCAAGGAGAGTGGTGTGGTATGGATGCATGGGTGCAGTGGTGAAGCTAATCCACTGCCACTGCCTCTGCACCAACCTTTCTGTTGTCCTGAGTGCTTCCAAAGTCCCTCCCATCAAATGTCAAAGAGATAAACAACCACCTGACATTTAGAAGACATCTGAAGGCAGCCCTGTTAAGGGAAGTTTTTAATGTGTGACATTTTAATGTATTTTTAATATTTGTTGGAAGCCACCAGGAGTGGCTGGGGAGGCTGCGGTACAAATAATAATTTACTATTACTGTTACAAATGGAATCATTGGAATTACTGCGAAGCTATCCTAAGTGGGGTGTCTCCATTTCTGCACACCAGTGTTCACCACTGAGAGTGTTGGCTTGGGTAGTGAAACACTATAAATTACATGAGGACGAATGTGTTTCCCTGTTTTAATTTCATTCATCCTTGTGGTTTATGGTTCAATGGGTTTAAATAGTTGCATTACAAAACCTTTAGTAAAAAATTGAATTTCTTTCACTATACCTAACAAGTTTGGCTTATTCATTCACCCCGCACTTAAATCCCTTGCCACACTACCCAGTACAGAGTTGGCTGGGCCAGTAAGTAAGTTGCAGAGGCGACAAATGGGAGAGGAGCCAGGAAGATAAGATATCCATGTGATGGCTGAAGTGAAGACCAAAAACATGAGAAGGTGGTGTTAGTTGTTTGCCTATCTCCCTTCTCTTTCATGGTGCAAGCTACAGCTTGTGCCATCATGCCTGACAAGGTCAAAACTCAAAAGCAAGTCTATGGTTGAGCAGAAATGATTTCTCACTGTTTCTCTAACATGTTTGGGTCTGAGTATGAGAGGTTTTTTTCCAGACAACAACCATTTGCATGGTACAAAATTTGAAACTTTTTTTGTACTCTATTCAAGCAATGCAGTTCAGAGAGATAAATGTGAGAAGTAATTAATAAAAAAGCCAACTTAAATAGTTCTTGGAGGTAACTCTGCCATATTATGCATTATGGGATAGCATAAAAATTGAAATCGCTATAATTCATATGATCTATAGTATATTTAAAGGAAAGCTATTCACTAGCTGAGATGCATGGCCAACACATTATTCTCAAAATTCCCCTGTCTTTATTTAAGTTGTAGGCTTCTGTGACATCGTGTGATTTATTTTAATGATATGCAGTGCCTCACTTTGCATTTTGTGATTTCAAGACTCCTATAAGCTTATGTAAATTCCAGCTGCTAGGCCACAAGATAAAATCATGGCTCTTACTTACTCTCTTTATGTCACATAAATGTGAAAAATTGAAGAGTTGCTCCAGGCCAGTGTGTTACATTTTACATTGTGGTGATCTCTGTAGGCTGCCTTTTCAGCTCAGATCAGGGATAATGCTTTAAACAGCATGAACAGGGAAAAAAATGGGAGTAAGGGGAAGATCAGTTGAACATTTTGAATTTTGTACACTACTGGTCCTTTTCCCTCCCAACCCAGAATTCTTCATTTTCTTGAGATTTTGGTGCTACTGAAAGTGAAGTTGTGAAACACACACGTAAACATATAGCAGACATGAAATAAAAAATTAAAAAATAGTCCAGTAGCACCTTAGAGACCAACTAAGTTAGTTCTGGGTATAAGCTTTCATGTGCATGCACACTTCTTCAGATAGACATGAAAGACATTTCTACTGAAAATTCAGGGTTGGTCCACACAATTTGCTTTGAATGATAATACCATAAAATGAAGTTTTCAGTGATTACAATAGGCTGAAGCATATACTCCAAGCATTTATAAATGTTGTAACCCAGCCATTTGTCAAATATTTTTCATGATTTGCATGGCTGAGCATGTGTAGCATTCATAAGACTTGGGTATTATGTCAATTTGCCAAAAAGCCCAACTTGCAGCAGCCATAAAGGTCAACATTATGTGAATTGGCCTTATGTTCCCAGCAGCTGAGAAAAGTATTTCTCTAACCATGAAGAATAATTGATTTGTCCAGGAAAGAATTGATACCTTTTCTAATTGTTGTTGCACAGCTAGTAATTGTTTGGACACAAACATGTTGGAAAATGTGCTACTTGCAGGTCTGGAACATTGTTCTCTTAGAAAGATTGACCAAAATAACCAAAAGACACACAGGAAAAGGAAATATGCAAACATATCAGATGACAAAATACTTCCTGTTACCCAAGGCCCCATGTGGAGATATGTTTTTACATATGGGGACATTGGGAACTACATGATATTTCTTGTACATCTACTAGTCATGATGAATATACTCAGCCCTCACTGTTGGAGACAGTTTGCTTCTGAACACCAGTCAGTGGCATAGTGCTTGGGGAAGGGGACAGAGTTGGTTGCCCCAACCGCAAATTTGTTAGGGGTGCAAAATTTCAATACCCAGTGCTGCCTCAAAACAGTGGCTCGTTTCCGTTGCTGGGCTCCATTGAAGATGACTTCTCCATGCAAACCAGGAAGTAACATCTCCAGACAATGGAACAACTCTACTTTTCTGATCTCTGTGGATGCAATCTCTTGGGTGATGTGGACACCGTTAGGCAGTTGAGTGGGCATGCATACTCTGTCCATTACCCTCCCTTCCACCCACTCCCCTCTGCAGGGCCCCGGGTGCTGGCAACCCATGCTATGCCACTGACATATGTGCATCCCAGATAATAATTGTCTCTGATGCATCACCTGGGGGAGATTTTAACTGTGATGTGGCTCCTAGCTATTAGTAGTTGTTTAATAAAAGTCCAGTTTCCACCTGCTCCCACATATACCTACCCAAACCTTAATATATTCTTTGGAGGTCTTTGTGTGATTCCTATTGGTATGTTCTTTTCCTGGTTACGTACATTTTTGTATGCATTGGCTGGAATATCACACCACAGAATTCGGAGAAGTGCAATTTTTCAAGGAGAAATGTGTTCCGATTTGTATATTGGTTCATTTCCCTACCCCACCCCTAGGCACACTTGTACTTTCACCCTCATCACATGAAGGTCTTTGTCTGAATATTTCTCTAAACAACAAGCATTTGGAATTCTTCCTGAGAGGCAAAACTAGCAAGGGAAGGGGACACAGTTGGAACATTGGCCTTTTGTTGTGCAACAATATGATTTAAGTCACAATTCTTACTCAGTGGCACAACTCATGTTAAGTTTGAGGCTCTCATGCTTCCAGCCAGCAAGTTTTTGTGAAGCTAGTCAATAGAGGAGCTGCCACAGTGCTTAGTAATCTAGATGGGAGTTGCCAGTGGAATCCATTGTGAAGTGTTGTAGAAAATTGTTATGCAGACATAACCAATATCCCAATATTGTTACATGAGTAACAATAAAATGTCTCTTAGTGCAAAGTATAAACTATTGTGATTGTCACGGTCTTCATTTGTACATTTGCCTATTGGGAAACCCCAATTTATGGGGATCCCAATCAGTGAGAACATTTGCTTTCTTTTAAATTCAGCAAGTTTCACTTTAGTTTTCTGATGTGAATCAACCACAATGCTTACTCAATAGCCATTCAGTTTCACTTAGGTTTCACACCGCAACATTCTGCAATGCCTGAGTTCCTTCTGGTTTTGATGCAAAGATAAAACAGAAACAAATCATGTGTGCTGAAAGATATATGCTGAATTTTATGAGTGCTTTTCCAAATAGATAACCCATGTTACTTGTAGTCTATAATGGATATAATCTATCTGCTTTCCAAATAGAAAACAGATATATAAGTAAGGGAAGTTTCAACTTCAGCAGTGTCACTTATACTCATCACACTTTCACAGACATTTTATTTTATGTACTACTAATGCATCATAGCCATTGGCAAATGCAAAGTGGTGCTAAAGAGAGAGAGAGAGAGAGAAAGAGAGAGAGAGAGAGTGCACACACACACACACACACACACGCTGGAGGTGTGGGGTGTGTGGAGTGTGTAGGGGAAAGAAATGTGATTATGAAGCATCAGAGTAGATCTGATCATGTCAAATTCCTCTGGAGGAAAAGACAAAGAGAAAAATTACTGGCACGCAGTTCTTGAAGTCAATAAATGAAATCTACCCAATTCAGCATAGGCATTGGGGAAATCACTCTTGATTTGTCTTTGATAGATTGACAAAATCTTAGTTAAAGCCATTTTAATGCTTTTGTGGCTAAGCTTCCAAATACACTGAACTCAAGCCAGATCTCACTTAACAGAACCAACCCTCCCTATCAATCAAATGAAAAACTGATGAGAACAAGACAGCTTTGCCCTCTTTTATATTTTCCTTCTCTTGAGTTGGACAGCAACAAAGCCAAATGCCTGGCTTTCTGTGGCTAGGAAATAGAGCCCCGCACCTTTCTTCAGAAGAATTAAATGCAACCAATTTAAAATTGGTCCCTGGATGTTGTGATCTTAGATTAGCCACTCTCTGGCTATGCAAGTTGTTTTTCTGGAGCGTTTTGTGTCTGGATACACTTTGTTCCTTGAGAAATGCAAGGAGTTCTACTCTAAGAGCCACCACAATGTTTTGGAGCAATTCCCAGGTGGCGATTTTGCTAAACCTGAGACTTTACTTGAGTGAAGGCTTAATAGGGCTTGCAGACACCCCTCGAGCAGCCAGACACAGATGGAGACAATCCATGTGCATGGAAACGAGGGAACACCCTAATGGTGTCAACAGCTTAACACATTACACCCACCAAACATAAGCTGCCAAAGACAAAGAAACCCTCCACAGCAGCAACCACTATAGCATAGGCATCAGGAACCAAGAAACTGAGAGACTCCAGGGATGCCTGTGTATTGTGGAACAGATCCCCTTTTACCACTGACACACAGAGGTTGTGTATAACCAGAGCTTTGACTGTTGACACTCAGGAAAGGAAGGGCAAGCGGTTCAGTTCAACAGCTAGCCAGCTTCCTTCAGAGGGGGAGACTTAAATAACAAATGTGTAAGCATCCCTGAGATAATATTTTTAATGGTCCAATGCCCAACCCAATAGTTCCCATAGAAAACTTTCTAATGATGCTTCCTCCTGTGTATGCCAAATGTATGTATCATGAGGCCTGAGATAAGCACTCATACTGCCATCTGAGCAACGAACTTACTTGCAGGGTATATACGAACTTACTGATATGGATATATTAAGGTTGAATGCAGTTGGGCAGAATACATTGTAACAGTGAGTGGTCTCCAACCAAGGTTTACCCAGAGGAGAGCCATAAAAATTAATAGACCTAAGAGAGCCATGTCTTGATTTGAATGGCTGTACAATGAATGACTAAATGAAGAATACTAAGTATATGAAAACAAATGTGGTTTTTAACTAAAGGTTTTTTTGTGTGTGTTTTTTGGTAACACAGCAATTTTAAATGGTTTGAACTGTTAACCATAAGAATGAATGAAGGATTAGCACTGGGTTCAACCCATGAGAGCTGGAGGGGAAGAAGGTGAGTGAGGTAATATGCTTTGGATCACTACTGAGTTCAGCCAGAGTGTTCTAATTTACATATAAGACCTGTCCTCCTTTTACAAAAGAGAACCCTCTGTTTAAACAGTTGTGATCCAAGTCTGGCTTACAGATAAAGAAGCACAAGAAAGTTGATCAGGGGCCTTGAAGTTGCCATCAGTAGTTAGTATCTGCAAAGCAGACTGAGCAAGGATAAAGGCCACCTGTTCCGAGTGTTCCCTGCTGTGTTCAGATGAACTGTATTTCTATTTAAATTCTTATTATTACTTTTAAATTTGCATCTGTAAATATAAACTAGCATGTGCAAATTCTATGTGGAACTTGCCTCCTCTTCTGTCCATTTTTTGGATACTGTATTTCTCTCCCCCTTCTCTTTTACATTACTTTCTTTTTTGCCATCGCATTATTATGCTGGTGTTTTAACAATTGATTGATTTATTGATTGGATTCATATCCCTTCCTTCTTTCCAAAGACTTCAGGAAGGCAAGCACATCCATAATGGGAGAGGGAAAAAGCATTCTAAAACAGTTAAAACATTCTATAAACAGTTACACTTAAAGGCATAAAAAAAAAAATACAATTGAAAACATTTCATCCAGTGATCTCAGAGTTATTAGGAACAGTATTCTTTATGAACGTTTTCAAATTCCTCCTGGAATTTAATAATGACAAAAAGAGACACACCTCACTATGGCGGGTAGCTAGCTAGCATAATTAGATTTTAGGATTGCAACCCAAACCTTTCTGGGGGATTTTTGAATAAAAATTGGGATCCTAACAAATCTGCAAATTGTCACAGGTGCTGCACTGGAAACCAGATTCATAGAATCATAGAACTGTAGAGTTGGAAGGCACCGCAAGGGTCATCTAGTCCAACCTCCTGCAATTCAGGAATCTTCTGCCCAACATGGAGCTCAAACCCATGATTATGAGATTAAGAGTTTCATGCTCTACTGACTGAGCTACCCAGATCATGGTATGTTGTTGTTCCTGTCTGTGATAACAATATGTGCTACCTTCCCCTAAAATATAAGCAGTTCCATTCCTGTCTTCCATATGTGATGCTGCTGTTTGTCCAGGAACTTTGATAGTGGGACCACCTCCCACAGCCACACAGATGAAATATTTAGCATCCTGTACATGTGTATTATATTTATCTACTTATGTTGGGTTCTGCTTTTTTCTTTCTTTAGAAATGAAATTTCCACCAGAAATGTAGCTTTCATTATCTGTTTTGAGAATGAATTAAGCAATCCATATGGAAACTAAACTGACCCATTGTCAACTGCATTGACTTCTCTATTCCTTTTAGTTACTGATTAAGTAGTACAATATCTTCACTTTCTGTTCTTAAGAAAACAGATGATACGATGCTGACCCTTTCAGCAACATTAGCATCTAGAACTCTGCATCTGAAGTGCATTGCAGAACAAAATAAACCATTCTTCATGACCACTGAACCTCTATAACTGCTCCAAGGTTTCTGCCTTTCTTGTTCTCATTGCCCCAGCAATTTTATTCATGGCTTGCTATATAGCTGGTACTTCAGCCCAAGTTACACAACAATCATGTCCAGTGGGGAAGGGTGCTTTTTGCAGATGACCTCCTGACGACAGTGAGGCTACAGCTTACTGGGAGAGAGGGTGGAGACATTGACAACATCAGTGCTGTGTGGGCATGGCGGATTGGCTCCATTAGGGTGTCTACACAGCAGCAACATCCTTGGCACATCCTCTTCCTCCTGGTAAGCTGTACCGATGCTGCTGCTGGGAGGTCAAGTGTGAGGCACCGCCCTTCCCTGTCAGCTGCTTCTGGGCCGCCATCTTTCTTCATTGGATTGCAAAAAAGAGGATATCATAGAGTTTGAGAAGAGGCTGAAAGGGGAAATCAAGGGGCTGCAGCATCTTCTCTGTGGCAAAAGGTTACAACATTTGGGGCTTTTTAGCTTAGGGTGACAAAAAGGGGAAATAAGGAAGGACATAACAGGTGTATAAAATTGTGTGCAGCACAGAGAAAGTGAACAGAGAGAAGTTTTCTTCCTCTTTCATAATAGTACAACTGGAATTCATGCAGTGGCGGAGCAAGCCGATCAGGCGCCTGAGGCGGCGCAGATGCAGGGCACCCATGGGGTGGGGCCAGCCGCCTGCAGGGCAGGGCAAGTTGGGGCAGGATGCTCTGCGGGGCCTCCGAGGAGTCTGCCTGCCTCCTCCCACCCAGCCACCCTACAGCTGAGGGGGAAGCGGCGGGCGGACTGTTTGGGGCAGCGCAGAGCCTGCTGGTGCCCAACCCACTGTGTCACTCCCAGGAGAGACACATGGCTCGGGCGCACTGCAGGCCTTGCAGTGAATGCCACCCGGCATTTTGTCACCCCCTCAGTGGTGACACCCGGGGTTACCCGTCCCCACCGTACCCCTTTCTCTGCCCCTGGTGGCAAGCTGAATTATAGGAAATTCAGGATAGATGAAAGGAAGTACTTCTCCACACTGCTAAACTTTGGAATTTACTATCACAAGATGTGGCAATGGTTGCCAACTACAAAGCTTTAGAAGATTGACTAATTTATGGAAGCTAAGGCTATCAATGGCTACTAGTCATGCATACCCTCCAATTTTCCTCAGATGAAAATTAGGACATTCTACATCAGTATCACTATTTGAGCATTTCCTTCCGGTCAAGTACAAATGTTATTAGAGGAAACACACAAATCGGCAGTATTTTAAGCACAGAAATCTTTGAATTCTTTGTATTGCATTTAGGGAAGCCTTAAGACGTTCAAAAGTACCATAAGGATATCATCTAGCTGACAATAAGGGCTTAGCAGTCACGGTTGTCCGTGTTGGCAATAAAGAGGGGTATGTGGGAGAAGACAGTCCTCAGGACAGCAGTAGACTAAAGTGTGGGGTGGCCCATTCTGACCCACTCTGCATTTCAATTGAGCATTATTGAGAGCACTCGATTTTCTGTCTTGAAAATTTTCCCTCACGGAGAGTCTATTTTCTTCCTGTCTCCCGTCTCGCAGAGACAGGCTTTAGGAACTGAACCAGAGCAGTGAGAGATAATGTGTAACAGTGAACCACAAACAGGCCAATACAAAGGCCATCACATACCTCCATAATCGGTCCTGCACGGTTAAGTAGTTGTCTGGGAGGCTTGTGTCATGTCTCTGGCAAAGGCTGGAACTGTCCAGAGCTGACATTTAGCTAAAAGACATCTCCATTAACTTAGAGCAGTGAGACCCTCTGTTCTTTTTAATTCAGGCTTCTTCATACGCTAAACTAGACATTTACTGGAAGGCTTTGCAGTAATGCTAGTAGGTTACTAAGTGCAGAGACGTCTAGGAGGGTAGAGAGGCTTCAGGTGGGGAAAAAATTGAAGCCATAGACTCTGGAAACCTTATTTTTAAATGATGGGGCAGGGTGTGTGCATTGGAGGAGGGGGCAGAACACCTTCCCCCGAATTTTTCATCAGAAAACATTCTGGGTGAAAATAAAATCTAACCCAGCTCAGTTAAATAAAGGGAGAACACTTGCCATATAAACTGCTAATCACAATTTTTTTCTTATCACCTCTCACTACTAGGTTTGACAGGTGTCAGTTCACCGAGATTATAATAGTATTCTGGATAATGGAATTTCTGGTTAAGTTAGGATAGGTTAAACAGAAAGTTAATTTAGACAAATGATCAGTGCTTCTTCACTGTGTAATATCACACGTGTGCACACACACACCATCCCTTGTGAGTCAGAACAAATTAAGCAATGACTAAGAATAGTTTATTCACTCATTTGCTTTGAGGAGTGTGGCAGATTTGGACAAATCTTGAGTTGGGCTTGTCAGAGATGAAATGGGATCTGTAAGAGGAGCCCTGAACCAAAGTGAGTCCTCCTCTGCAAGTACTTTGTGGTGCCTTGGTGATTCAGATGACCAAATAAAAATAAAATCAAATACGAAAATACTACTACTGATCTTGCATGGAACAAAGTATTGCAGGCCAAAGATCGATCAATTGCTGAAAAACCTGCAGTAACTTAACTGGTTTACAACTCATGAAACTTGCATACATTGTATGGTTTAGTGTTGGCATTGAGGGAGAGTCGGCTTCCTGTGCTTTGACGAGTTGGAAGTTTTCAATGCTCACACCAGCCGGTTCCTCAAATGAAAGCGCTTTCCTCGCTCTGCAGCATCAGCTAGGGGCAGCTATGTAATGCCAATGAATTGGTGCCCATAAACAAAAACACACAGTGGAAAGCAAATCCCTGTTAATTCTTTCCTACAACAAACTTTAAAGGCACCTAGCCCTCACCCCAGTATATACACAAACAACACAACCCAAAACATGAACCTATTTTGCACCTCTTTTACGCCTGTTATTTTTGATAGCCAATAGCCCACATAACAACAGGAGAAATTATGCAATTCTTATATTTTTACCCACACTAAAACCACTACAGCTATCCTTCTGATTTGGCAGGATTTATCCCCTCAAGAGTGTCTATCATGCCTGCATGTTTCATTAAATTCTTCCAAAAATCTAAAGAAGCTATTGTTTTACTCTATTTATTATTTATTAAACTTACTTGCAGCAAGAAAAAAACCATCAAATACCTCAAAGCAACCCCACAACAACATCAACAAAACCCACTCATTTGTTAAAACCACGGGGGAAAATAATATTTTTAAAATAAATAAAAAGAAAAGAAAAAAGAAAACAAACTCTAAAGGTGTTCAGCACAAAACTCCTAATCTTCATTTATTCCATCTTGAAGGACTACGAAGCTTGCAAATTTCACTTACTTTCATCATTCTTTGATTTCCCCACAATGAAGGGAGGTTTCATTGTTTTCCCCATACTAAATGGTAGTGATGGGAAACAAAGTGTCATTTTTCTCCTGAAGTGTCAAAGGTGTCAACAGAATTTTCAGAGCCCAGAGCATTGCCCAGAAAATGATATGTATCATATGAAAATTGCATCCTCTGTTACAGTTGTAGTGGAGGGCCCCTGAGAGGTACAATGTCAGCAGGTGAAACCTTTAATACAATTGCATTTCCATAGCAGAAAAGGCACAACCCTAACCTGTTGAACTAAAGGCTTAACCTGTTGATTCCCATGCAGGTCTTAAAGTGAGTGCGGCTGGCAACAGGTGGGGACCATGCTTCCTTTGAGCCAGCCCCAAACTAATTCAAGTTTCCTGAATTTTCTGTAGACGGTCTATCAAATGCTTGGACCTTACAGTGAAGGGGAGATTATATATATATATATATATATATATATATATATATATAATCTTTTATTCAGTGCAATATCTGAGGGGAAGAAATTTCAGGTGGATGTGGAGAGTAGTCAAATGAGATTTAAGATTCATACGAATCAAGGTTCAGATGTCCATGCTAGGATAAATTCAACAATGAATTGTTAAAGAGAAAGCAGTGTATTCTAAGAACATTTGTTGTGCAGACTTCACGCAGCTCTCCGCAAGGCGCTGGAGCCCGGCGATGGGCTCCTGTGGCTTGCGGAGAGTTGCCTGTTCTGGGGGCTGGGGTCGGGGAAAAAAATAATTCCCCCCCTTTATTTCCCCCCCAAAGAACTAGGGGCGCCTTATGGGACGGTGCGTCCTATAGGGCGAAAAATACGGTATATTCTTTGCATTAATGTTAGCAAGATTTTTTTAGTGATGTGTACATACACATAAAAATCAATCAATCCCCACCCCTCCAAAATTAAAGATGAATTATAAAGAGCACAAACTCCTTCCTGTCTTTGCTGCTTCATTATACCTTTGAATGGACACGCTACTGTCCAGTCACACTAAGATACTGGATTTCTCAATTACAACTTTGGACAACATTCCTTTCTTGGCCAGGTATGATGAAAACTAGCTTCAAAATGAACCAGACAGTCCTTATTCATTGTCTGCTTCTAGAGAAAGTCTAGACACAGGCACCAAGAAAGACCAAAAACTAGTTTCAAAATG